ACTATTTTGCAAGCAGGAGTTCAGTTTGAGCTGTCAACCCATCGCAAGGGTAGCAGCCACCGCACGATTTGAGAGTGTCTACGTGACCGTCAATACTGTCCTGTCAGAAGAGCAGGGCCGATTCCTTGCTCTGTCCTTGGCATTCAATAGCTTGTCCGCTTCTGTGAAACATGTCTACTCCAATGAATCAACGGCAAGCTTTGAAGTCAAGTCAATGGTGTTGTCGTTGATGAACAGCAAGCATCTTGGCCGGATGAGCGGAATGTCAGCTATCTTGCGAGTGAGCCCGATGAAGGTCGCCGTCAACGCCAAACAGGTTCAAGACTCTCTCCTCTTCCGAGAGATCTGGCTTCCCTCCAATGATGAACCTGCCTCAGATCCAACTCCCCAGCCGGAGTCGTCCGAAGCGCAGCCTTACATCGTGCAGCGATACCAGCAGGTTGCTTCGGCATCGGCATTCCCCTGGAATACCACCATCGCGATTGAAAAGGTTGAAATCCAACTGGACCTTGGCTCGACTTTGGGCAAGGCACAGTTCGGCATCAAGGACTTGTGGGTGTCTACTAGCAAGACATCTGACAATGAGCAGAACATGTGTGTCAATTTCGGCTCTATTGCGATCGAGAGCAAGGGCCGCATGAGTGGAGTTGTCGAACTCGGAAACCTCAAAGTACATACCTCAATCGAATGGCCTGAAGTATCTCGAGAAACTGGACAAACACCGTTGATCCAAGCTTCGCTTGCCTTCCGTCACCTCCAAGCCAAGGTCTCCTTCGACTACCAACCCTTCCTGGTTGCCCACATTGCCAGGTTCAACTTCTTGATGTACAACGTCCGAGACACATCCGGCGAACAGAGCCAACGCCTTTTCAGTATTCTGGAAGGAGACAAACTCCAACTGTTCTGCACGTCTCTAACGGCATCACAAGCCCTAGCTCTCTTCCAAGCCTGGCAGCGCTTAATCCAAGACGTCCAAGCAGCCTACAAAGCATCCCTACGCGACGTGGAACGTTACCTCCGCCGAAAATCATCCGTTCTAACCGAACTCCCGGATATTGGCGCCAAAGACCTCGCAAAGCCACCCGACGACCAGCCAGAGAAAGCACCCATATCCCTACACACGGGCGTGGTAGTCAACATCCGCCACGTCAACCTCGGCGCCTTCCCCAGCACCTTCTTCGACAACCAAATCTTCAAGGTAGAAGCCTACGACGCCGAAGCCCGATTCGCCGTTTCCCTCGAAGCAGGCAAGATCCACAGCGCCCTAGGCCTAACACTAGGCCAACTCCGCGTCGCCCTATCCGGCATCACACGACCAACCTCCGCACAGCTAGACGAGCTCTCTGTCGACGAAATCGCCGAACGAGCCGCCGCCTCTCGAGGCGGAACAATCCTCAAAGTACCCCGTCTCGTCGCCGGCATGGAAACCTGGCAAGCACCCGGAACCCACGAGATCGAATACATTTTCCGCAGCACATTCGAAGGCAAAGTCGATGTCGGCTGGAATTACTCGCGCATCAGCTTTATGCGGGATATGTGGGAGACGCATTCGCGCGCGCTTGCTTCAAGACTTGGAAAACCGCTGCCTCCCTCTGCTGTGCGCATTACTGGCGGGCCTGGTAGTAGTGCTGAAGGCGATGCTGCGAGCTCTGAGCAGCAGGAGAAGATTACAGCTGTTGTCAATGTGCCGCAGTCCAAGTATACTTATACTGCGCTTGAGCCGCCTGTTATTGAGACGCCGCAGTTAAGGGATATGGGTGAGGCTACGCCGCCTTTGGAGTGGATTGGGTTGCAGAGGGATAAGCTGCCGAATGTTACGCACCAGATTATCATTGTTACTTTGTTGGAGATTGCGAAGGAGGTTGAGGATGCTTATGGGAAGATTCTGGGGGCTTGATTTCTTTTTGGTTTACTGGTCTTCGTGACTGTCGTTGGTCCTTGCGGCTTTGGTTTTTTTCATCTTGTATTATTGATCCCTGTCTGTCTGCATTGCCTGATACCAATTTTATTTTGTACATTCATTTGCATTGCATTGCATCAAAGGATCATAAAAGTCCTTTCTTTTGCTTCATGGTCGAGGATCAGAGTATTTGTAGGAAATCCGTAGCTTGAAAATGCCAATATACCGAAAAGTAAAATATAGTCTTAAAATGTCATTAAAGGCGACCTTCAACGGAACTATCAAAGCACCTTTTTGAAAACTGCAAGTCTACTATCTAGAACCCGAAACCAAATGAATCAATGCACCCTCGTCCAATAGAGAGAGATTCGTCAAAATCATAGACCACTACTAACCCGGTCGTAAGAAAAAGGGAGACATATAGTCACTCTTGACTTACAGGCCGAACTGACTCCGGAGAGATCCAGCGAAGCGAGAAATCGCCTCATCAATCTTTTCCGATGAGGCGGCGGCAAATGTCGCACGGAAAAACATCTTCTCCTCGATGGTGTCGTGGTCAGGCTTGAACCAGCTACCGCGGGAAAGGAGGACACCTGCTTCCACGGCGGACAGGAAGATCTCCTCTTCAATCTGGGCGTGAGTCTTGCCGGCCGCAATGCCGGGGTGCTTGTGCCAGTCAATTTCGATCCAGTGCTAAGCAAGGGGTTAATATGGTAAGATTAAAAGCGGAGAAAATGTTACTGGGAAACTTACGAACATGCCTGCCGCGGGGGCAACCCAGTGGGCAATTTCACGGGGCAGGTGCTTCTCACAAGCGTGAACGAGCGAGTCACGACGAGCAGTGTACGACATGCGCAGGTTAATCAACCAATCCAGGTATCCCGAGTGACCCCAGTGCTCGTCTAGAAGCTTGAAGAGAGCAATCTGAGAAATACCACTAGGGTTTTGCGAAGAGGTCTCAAAGTTACGGATGAAGCGCTCGATGATCTGCTCCGAGGCGACGATCCAGCCAACTCGCGTGCCGGGCGACACGACCTTGGAGAAGGATTCGAGACGAACGACACGGCCATCAACGTCCATGCTGAGGAATGACGGGGTAAGAGACTTGATGAAGTCCTCGTGGGTGGCAGGAGGAGGCACGGGCTCGGCATCCTCACCGACGTAGGGCTGCATCTGCAGGAAGTAGTAAGGCTCGTCCTCGACGATGATGACGTCGTGCTTCTGTGCGATCTTGTAGACGGCGCGGCGGCGTTCGGCGGACTGGGTGGCGCCAGTGGGGTTCTGGCCTGTTGGGATGGTGTACAGTACGAATGGCTTGCGGGCACCACGGGCCTTTTCGTCCCAGTTGCTGAGGATGTCGTCCATGGACTCAGGGAGGAGACCCTGCTCGTCCATTGCGATGCCTACGGCCTTCAGGCCCAAAGGGAATGCGGTCTCAGCTGCGCTGGCGAATGTGTACTCTTCCATGATGATGTAGTCGCCACGCTCGCAGAGCAAGCGCAGAGTGGTGTCCCAAGCATAGGTGCTACCGGCTGTCATGGTGCATTGCCAGTCGGAGTAGGGAGGTTTGTGAATGAGCTGATTTTATTAGTATTGAGCGAGTTGTTGAAGATGATATTGGACTTACCTCTGTATGCTCGGTGATAAAACGAAGCAATTGCGCAGCACCGGTGGCTTGGCCGTAGTTAAGCGCAATTTCCAGGTCCGCAATATAAATCAGTCCTGCGCAATATCTATACATATAATTTCAAGATACTCACCGAATGTGCTGCTTCCATCTTGGATATCATGCTTTCCAGCGCGCAGCACGGTGCCAGACTCGCGAGTAGCCTCCGGGGAGAACCCGGGGGGAGTGGGGACCTTAATATCAAGGTGCTCGAAGGGGAAGTATTCAGGCGAGGGCAGTCCACCACCAAGGGAGATAAGGCCTGAAATAATAATTAGCATTTAGGTTCAGCCAAGACAATCTGTTCTTCTCACCAGGGTTCTTCAGGTACCGAGCGGCAGTCTTCAAAGTTGAAGGCTGTGGAAGGGCATTAGCGATGGGGGACTTTGAATTACGCGATTGAGCGTGCGCACCTTGCGAGACTTGGCTTCCAGTGAAAAGCGGTCTAAGCAAGAGAACAAGTCAGTATGAATGAACATCTATTGACCGAAATATGGCGTCCGGCATTTCATCAGAATAGTTAGACTTACGGTCAAACCGCTTGGCCTTGGGCTTGGTATAGCAGATCTAGTGAACCAAAACACATATCAGCATTCTGGTCTTATATCCCTCACTCCAATCTCCGTCCAATCTGAAGGTATCATACCGGACTCTTAAACATATCACTGCTGCATGCCGCGGCCACGCCAGTGGGCATCTTTGCCGTCTTCGCTCTCCATGCAGAAATGCCATTGACGGTCAAGGGATCAGGGACAGGGACGGCAGTGGTATCAGTGACGGCCACGAGGTCGACATCGAGAGGTGCTGGGGGACTCATTGTGATCGGAGCGGTGTAGTTGTCAAGAGCGGAATCGGCGTTTTATGTGCGACAGTAGGTGGAGGGTAGCTTCACGCACAAACGTCGGAGTGTCGTGCTATTGCGTGCGAGGACAGAGCCGTAGGTCTCGAGAGATCAAAACAATGCAAGTGTCAAGGAGGCAAAGAATTGGCGATATCCAAGGAACTGATCTCGGCATTCTTTTTATCTTAACGTTATCCACCCCGGCACATGACTCATACTCCGAACACTCCGATGAGTCCGTTTGGTGATAGTTAAACAGTCACGATGTATATATTTCTGTTATCTAATGACGGAGTGTTCGGAGAAACAGGTTATAGTTAAACTTCACTGAATGCCACCAACTGCTTGTCAATTGTAGGGCGCGGGGCTCTTGCGTGGTTTTAGTATTACAATACAGTCCGCGAAATGGTGAGGAATTGGAGAATAATACGGAAATACCAAAACACACCCCGCCGTCTAGATAAGGCTACCGCCGGCATCGGCGCGATAAGCTTTGCGAAGTAAACAACTGCCACCACAACTAAACAACAATTATGAAGTCTCCATTTACTTGCCTGTATAGAGCTGCAGCTAAACGAAACAGAGTATATTGGCTAACCCTTATGACTCTCCACATATTTCCCCGTGGTCCCATCAAGCTGCGCTTCCAACACCGCTGATTTCCCACTCAAAACACTCTGGATAGCCTCAGGAAGCTTCTGTGTAAGCTCAGCAACAGTGGCTGCACGACCACCCCAGACCTCACCACCCGCCGCAGCAGTAGCAATTCCCGCATAGTCAGGCGTAGGTGCAAAAGAGATATTGAGGTCCTCGTTGGTAGCACGGGACCCGTCACCCTCAGGATGAACGAGGAGCATGCTCCGCCGAGGGGCATTCCAGCCCTTATTGTTCAGCACAATCGTCAGAATGGGAATTCCATAACGGCGAGCAATCCAGTAGACAGATCCAGGGACTGAGAATAGGAACGTGCCATCTCCAACCACTTGACAGACAAACTTGCCCTTTCCGGGTCCGCCATGCTGCACATCGCTGGCCAGCTTGATGCCAAGTGCACCTCCACCAGACCAACCCAGTCCACCTCCTCCACAGTTGATCCATGAGTGGGGCAATGTGGCTGAAACCTGATCTGCAACCCAGTGGGTATTGGTTACAGCCTCGATGGCCCAGATCGTATCAGTTGGAACACCCTGGCGGACCTGTGCCATAAGATAATTGATATTCAAGGAGGCTCCATCACCGCCCTCAGGAACAACGGCCAGATCGGCGATCTCCTGTCGGCGCTTCAAGTATTCTTCATCCCGGCGTTGTCCCATGATAATATTCTCCTTTGATCCAATGAACTTCTGCAAAGACCCCTGGGCAGCAACATAGTCATTAATCTGCTTCAGTGCGGTAGAAGAGTCGGCACGGAATGTCGCCATGGAATGGATATAGAAAACCGGAATCTGCTGCTTCAAAGGGTCGACATCGATGTGAATTATCTTCGCCGATTCAGACGGTTTGAACTGTGTTGGAACCCAGGGGACATCACAGTCAATAACGAGAATCAGGTCTGCCGCTCTGACCACGTCATGCCCGGGATATCTCAAGCCCAGCCAGGCTGGGTGGTTAGCAGGGAAACACATGTCACTACCACCGGTATCCAACACGCGGATTCCCTTGAAGTTATTCGCCAATGTCACCAGCTCTGTCACCGCTTGAGCCTTCCGTCCACTGTACCCAGCAATGATAAGAGGTTGTTTCGCAGCCGCAAGCTCAGATGCAATCAATTCAACACCAGAGCTCGGCAATGCAGCCGGAGAAACAGGACCCCAGACACTCTGGTTCAATTGATATGGCTCAATATCCTCCTCCATAACCTCCCGAGCACCAACAAGGTAGACAGGACCTTTCGGGTCACTAGTTGCAAACTGCAAAGCCCGGTTCACGATCTGCTTAACATTCTTGCCAGACTTGATCTCGCCGGAATACCGACAATACTGAGAGACGATCTGCTTCTGATCTGGTACATCCTGAATCCAGTGGATATATTCCGTGCGAGAGCCTCGCATCTCGCCCTCGATCGTGTAAGGCGATAGACCAGCAAAGATTAGAACCGGGGCACGTCCACATGAGGCGTTGTGCACTGCTGCTCCTAATCCTTGCGTGCCAACGTCGACGTGCACTATCACTGCTTGCGGTTTGCCGGTTAAGCGGGCGTATCCGTCTGCCATTGAGAGTGCGACCATCTATACGTGTGCACATGTTCAGCGGGGTCCGTATACTTCCATCCCCACTCGAGGAGCAACTAGTCTGGGATATGTTGTAGGCCGGATGATGCGTACCTCATTGGGACAAGTGATTATCGTAGGGAATTGGTCTTTCTTTTCTTTCTGGCCTTTTACCATTGCTTCGAGGATCGAGGGATGGTCGGATCCCAGATTGACGAAGACATGGCTGACGCCGCCCTATAGATCAGAGCAGTTAGCTTTGAGATAATGAAGCTAGACTTGTTTGTGACATACCTCCCAGAGAGCTTCGAAGAAAGCAAAGGAAGCTGTATACACCCTAGCTTATGTGAGCAATGATGACGATGTTTGTACGAGAGGAGCAGAGCTCGTACATGTTGGAGTTCTATAAGACTCTAAGCTGTTGAATGACACAAAGGGGTAGTCTGCTTCCAAATTCCAAAGAGAAGCCTAGCAGTTATGAAGAAAGAGATCTCGGGGAGGGGAAAGTATATTGATAAAACACCAAATTCTGGGGAAGCGGAACTGGATTTCGGCCACAACTCCGATGAGGAGACGTGGGGGGGCTGTTCGAACTAACGCCGACTGGCTGAAATGAATACAAAAATATATTTCTCGGTTATAATTTGCAAAGGAAACTATGTTCGATTCATTTTGTTATCATTTTATTATCATTTTGGGGGATTTAAGGTTGTCAAGTAGCTAGCTGCTGGTTTTGTATCGTGGTCGACGAGGGGTAATTTGTAAACGGGAATCGGTCTCCGAGCTGAGTTATTAACTAGTCGATATTGACACTGGGTTTAACAATATAACGGTTAGATAGCTACGGTAGTCTATTACCGCCACTATGTCAAATGTTATTCTACCAGTAGAATATTAATGTACTATATATAAAGGTATACCGTATGGCTGGGAGGTGAAGTATAGATGCGGCTATAGACTACCGTAGGGATGCTCCTACCGCTCTTTCACGAGTTTCGCTAACCAATACACGTAAAACAAATGGTCTTAGCCTGACTATCCTGCTTCACTCAATTAGTATGTCTGATGCTGCTACGAAACTATCTCTATAACCGTTCGTCGAAACGCTTGTGGCGACTGATTGCTATGGGTGCCTTAGTACTCTTTGTGGTCGTCCGGCTTTTTTGCCAGTTAAGCTTTTACTCTGATCATAATAAATACAGTTCAGATGCTATAATTTGCTGTTTTATGCGATATTCCACTCACCTCATCGTGGACAACGAACGTCTGGAGCTTATGCGTCCGCATAGAAACTTTGACCATCTAACCAAATCTGCTTCTTTGATCTAGCTGACATGGGTGATATAGTGGAGCTGGTGGGAATCACATCTCTCACAAGCACTATCTAGCTTGTCGGTCCACGATGTAAGTTAGTTCCTAGTATTTACGTCGTACAATATTGTAGATCAGCCGCACCATTAGAAGCTTGATGGCCCGCTGGGGGCCAAACGCCACGCCCCACTTTACACTTAGCGATCCAAGGATGTTTTATTACTTTTAACTTATTACTCCGACTCGGAGTCCACCAGGTATCTCGTCGTGGATTTATCTAAACTACTCACTTTCCCCCCAATCCATTGACAGCATGGCCAAGCTGGAAAACAACCCGGACCAGCTGCCGATAGCAAAGAGACTGACGATTGCCAAGTACGATGCAGAGGATTGCAAGGATGCAATTCACGGATCTCGAATTCCAAAGACTATGGGCGAGCAGGTTCATCGACTGTGCACTATTCGCGGCATACGACATCATTATGGCTTTGCCCAGGAGCTCCGTGGAGTCACTCCAGAGTTCACGCGCGCCCTGAATGCCCGGGATATCATGAGCGGTATCATACCAACCATCTCGCGGCCCGAAGAGACACCTTATTGTATCTGGTATCCCGAAGTCCCGAAAGAGGATACTCTCCGAGATCTGGTCCAACGATACCCGGATATGCTCTATCATGCCGCTCGTTCCTGTGCCGTCGCAGGATATTTTGATCTGTATCAAGAGCTTGATCCTCTTCCGGAGGTCCATGTCGCAGAGGAGGCTGGCTACGCAAGCATGCAGAAAAGCAGCAACGGCAGTCAACAAATTTATGAGCACATTCTCTCCCAGTCTGTGAAGTTCGAGATCATGAACGACTATACACGTATGGTCAATATTGCCGGGCGTCGAGTTGCATCTCTGAATGGGGATACAGCTGCTTACTTGAGCCTTACTGCCAGGTCGAAGTACTATGGTCCTCGGGAGTTTAAAATCGACGCCAAGCCATGGCACAGATTTTGCACGGATCCCTATTACTCCAATATCACCGAAGACTGGGGAATAGATGACCATGACTGCGAGGCTCCTAACGCACCAGAGGATTATCTTCCACTGGTGTTTAGCCCACTCCCTGCAGATCTCCCGTTCATCAACAAGGACAAACTCATTTATGTTGCCGCATACAATGGCGATATCGATCGCTACGCACGACTTCGAAGACCGCAGATGCTTAAACATGAATGGGCTATGGTAATACATGGTATTTACCACAATGCAATTTTTGCCAAATGGTGGACTACACAAATCGCTGAGCACCCGGAAGATAGACGTGAGATCAAGATCCGGTGCGCGATCAATGCCCGGCGCATCATGTCCGACGACCTGTCTTGGCTCACAGCGGATACTCCTGGGAAACTACTACCAGATCTTATCTGGTATCCAGCTGTCGCTCACTGTGTGACCTATGAGAAGCTAGCCCACATGAGACCCGCTATGTTTGAAACGTGTCTACGGGCCTGCATAGTCGCAAACGACCCATGGACGTGGGATGATTTGCTACGCGCCGCGCCTGACATCTTCAAGTTCACCCGCGACTCCAGCGAGCCCGAAGATCCCAAGCTGTGGTGGCTGTCCAAACATGCTCGCTACGGGCTGTGGGGGGAAGCAGCTGCCTCATCAAACAAAATTTTCCAAAAAGACATCTTAGCAGCTGTGCCTGACGGCGCTCAAAAGTTCAAAACCCCGCACACCAACAGCGACTGGTGGGGGGACTACTACGTTGCGAGGGATCTTTACTTCCCAAATCGGTCCCGGCTTGTCCGGCTCTATGACCCGGTTCAACCAGGATCCACCACTGAAGGTCCATACGATGGAATGGGTTGCGGAATTGGTGATGTCGATCTTGCTTTGTTTCTCGGCGGTGCCATCTCGAGAGAGACTTGGAAGAAAGAAATGGAAGATGAAGGATCATTGCAGGCCAGTATTGAGGAAATTTGGGACTTACTAGAGCTGAATCAAGCTCCTAGCCATTCTTCTAGAATTTAAGAACCTCCAAGGCAAATTAGCATGTTGTCCCGAAAACCTACAATAGGGGTCATAAGTAAATGTACAGCGCCATGAAGTATTGGACAGTTTCTACACGGAAGCCTTAAGCGAGTATACCGTTTCATACATTATTTTCGCCGTCCTTCGCCTCTTCTTTTTTACCTCTTTTTATCTATCTTCAAGTGCCTCGGTTGTTGTTTAGAAATGGTATTGTATGAGGTGGGGATGTGAAAGGACGTATGGTCTATCTCAGTTTGACAAACGTCCCGAACGCCCTCGGCCCGGCTGTCTTCTTATTTTGTCGCATTTTCCTGCCCTTTCCCAAGAGAATGAGATGGGGTTTCAAATAAAAACGAACACTGTTTCGTATCCAAGAAAGACAATGCCTTTGTTATGGACCCTCCCATCTTCTAGAAAATTCCTTATCTACCCGGAACCCAACAAACTTGGAAGATCTCAATAAAAAATGAAGCCACCATGCATGTCACAATAGCAAACCGTGTACAATTCAAGGTCAGAATGCTATACAATGCCAATAAAATCCGAACTAGAACGCAATTTAAAAAGGCCACGCGATCTCGGCACGAGTCACCCCAACCCGATCGCTAGTTCACTAGATCGCGAACCCACAATTATAATTGGACCTTGACACGCCCAGACCAATCCTTCGGGACTAGTACCTGACACTGGCGCACGGCTTTTGGTCTCATTTAAGGCTAGAAGCGCTGCAGGTATCCCTGATATCGCCTCAATCATTGCCATGTGCGTGGCACAGATCCTTCGCTCCGGGGTTATTCGAGGAGTTGGGCCTTTTGAAACGCTATATGAAGCCTTCGGTCCCTTGAGGTCCCTTCCATCCGGGGGATGTTGAAATCTTTATTTTTGACAGTTTCCCGCTGATTCCTCTCGTTTGAACACGGTACTCATTGTTCAGTACCTGAAAGATGCTATTTGAGCGGTATCAGTGAGTTGTTAGCTTACGAAGGTTCATTCGAGTCATTACCTATCCACATCGCCAAAATGGGTCCTGCGATGCCCCTTGTCGATCGGAGTCTGGCGATCTTCCTCGTGTCGATTATCATAATGTCGATTTCCGTTATAGCGGTTTCATTGAGGAGTTTCGTTCGCCTAAGCATCGTTCGTGCTTTTGGTTGGGATGATGGTTTGATGGTAGCAGCGCTGGTCAGTTACTTGTTACCCTGGTATGAAAATTGTTTGTTGACTTTGTAGCAGGCGCTGTTTATCATGTTGAACACCTGTTGCATTCTTGGATCAATGAACGGGGTTGGCCACCCCTACGAAGACTTTACAAGCACTGTTGTCTTCAAGAAAGCACTGGTGGTAAGGTGTTCCTATGAGTATACTTTCACGGCTTGCTAATTCCTTTTGAATAGTGGTGGTGGCTTGGTCAAATGATCTACATCTGGGCAGGCTCAGTCGCCAAAATATCCATTGCACTTGGCCTCCTTCGCTTGACGATCAAAAAATCTCATCGCCTGATCCTTTGGGGCCTAATTGGTACTGTTATTGCCATTGGACTCTTGTTCTGGCTCTTTTTACTATTCAACTGCCAACCAATTGGCTACTTCTGGCAACAAGTGGATCCAGGAAGTGAAGGGAGCTGTCTGCCCTTGTCTACTCTGCTGGGCATTACCTATTTTTACAGCTCTGTGACTATATTGTGTGATTTGACTCTCGGCATTTTACCCGCTTTCCTGGTATGGAACCTGCAAATGAACCACAGGACAAAGCTGGCCGTGGGAGGAATTCTCAGTTTGGCTGCGCTGTATGTGATGTTGACCCATACTTCATGTGGAAGAAAGTTGCTAACATTCACCAGCGCAAGTGTGGCAGTAATCATCCGAATCCCCTTTTTACAATCCTACGCCGATGCAGACTTCCTATGTACGCTGCCTACCCACCACCTGTACCCCTACACAACTAAAAAATATCTAGACTCAACCTTCCAAATCGCCATTTGGTCCGTCATCGAGACTGGCCTCGGAATCACAGCAGGCAGCCTCATCACCCTCCGCCCTCTCTTCCGCTGGCTCCTGGACGGAACTATGGCCTACGGTCGAAATACCCCCGGCCCAATCAAGAGCTCACGCAAATACCAACTGTCCAGTATAAAGCTGGACAGCTCGAAAGGGGCCCGGGACCCCAGCTACTGGAGGCCTGACCTCGATCCCGACGATAACAAAAGTATCATTATTACTATTTCATCGCCGCGGAGACAGCAATTTAACCTCACCAATAGCAGTGAGGAGGCTTTGTATCCTGAGCTTGGCTTGACGCTCTCCAGAAACCATGTTACTATCCAGAAGACCTTTGAACAGGTCGTTACAGAGCTACCGAAATAGAACTTCCTGTGTAACCACGACATCTACACAGTTAACCAGGATAGTCGAAATTGAGTTGTATACTAGGAAAAAGTGTTGACCATGTGAGCAACTCAAGGTTGTTTCCCAATCAGGCTAGCTTCCCCGGATTTCGCCTGTCCCAGCTCTGGAGTCACAAAAAGTCCACCTGTCGTTCTAGTTGTTAGTCCTCTACTAGTTCTTATCTAAGAGTACCATGCCAAAGCCAACGGCCTTCCCGAGAACCCCAAGCCTCGCTCTCGCTTATTTCTGCAGAATCAATACGGGATCAACCTCGTGGGGGGTGGACGCCTGAGGAAAACCAACGACGATAGCCGGCCATGATTGGACGCTAACTGGCCTACTGCTGAAATCGGCTTGCCTGATTTACGCACTGCCACTATCCCCTCAGCAGCTGAAGATGCAAGTGAAAATGGGGGCAAGCTGAATGGCCCGCTTTGGGCTTAGACTGCCGAATGTGGCGTTGATGTTCGTGCACGGTGCGCAGGCTAGAATGTGATAGCTTCGTTTGAACTGTGAGTAAAGGTGATAATTTAGAGCGAGGTTCGTGGTTAGCTCTATTGTTTGCTTTTTTGAGGGGTGTGGACGTGTTGGGGAGGGATTTTTTTAAATAGAGGCTGTGTTCGCGCTGTTCGCTGGGCAGAGACCTTCTCAACAATCCTGTATATATTTTCGCTTCTTTCGTTGCTCGCAATCATGTCGCTATGTCGCGAGCCCCATGAGAATATCAAGACAACCCCCGTTCGCAAACGTATCATCATCTGCTGTGATGGGACATGGCAGTCCTCCGTATCGGGCAAGAAGAACGTCCCGTCAAATGTCACTCGCCTCTGCCGCGCTCTGAACGGGTTTGGAATCGATGAGAATGGTGAACAGTGGCAACAGATCGTGTGGTACGACTCCGGAGTCGGCACTACTTCCCTTGCCATTGGTAAGAAGATTGAAGGAGCCATCGGCCAAGGATTCGAAGGCAACGTCATCGAAGCATATAACTTCTGCGTGATGAACTATTCTCCCGGCGACCAGATTATGTGCTTTGGTTTCTCGAGAGGCGCGTACACGGCTCGTACTATTGCCGGGTTGATTTCCGATATTGGTATTTGCAGCAAGCAGGATCTCAACCGTTTCCCAGATCTCTGGGAGGCTTACAAGAACCGACCGCAAAGGGGAGAACGGTTCTATTACAGTGATCGCTGGTTTGAGTGGATGGAGGGTAAGGCTGATGAGCACCAGGGCGCTAAAGGCGAGGACTTTGTTTTTGCAGAGCGCGCTAAGGGTGACTGGGCTCAGCCGGGCTCTCGGATTGTGGAGGTTGTGGGTGTTTATGACACTGTTGGTTCCATTGGCTTGCCTGCAGTGCTTGGTGTTAAATTGCCGTCGAATTGGTTGTGGTGGGCGGATCAGACTGGATGGCAGAATGTTACACTTTCAGCAAGTAAGACCCCTCTTCTTTGGTCATCGATTGTTGAGATACTGACTATAGCTTCTTAGATGTCAAACATGCTTTCCAGGCTTTGGCCCTCGATGAGCACCGCGAGGCCTTTTCACCCACGCTATGGTATCTCCCGAGATTCGGCGAAGCTAAGGCGAGCGATATCGAAGCACAGAAGATAGTGATCGAAGAAAAAGCCGAAGAATGGGACAAGCTGTTGCAAGCTGCAATCGACCTCAAGTCGAGTGGAAAGGCTACTGACAAGGAAGTCAACGATGCTGCCATCGAGCTCAACAAAGTGGCAAAAGCCTTGAACCAGGCGAGTCGCGAGCTTTTGCGGATGGAAGACGATGTAAACCACCAGCTCAACCCTCGTACGTTAAAACAGGTGTGGTTCCCCGGCTACCACATTCACATCGGTGGCGGCTCGAACTCAACCCTGAAGGAAGAAGGTGACATGGAAGAGATGTCCAACATCACCTTCTCATGGATGCTGGACCAGATCAAACCCTTCCTGTTCTTGAACGAGGAATACCTATACATTGAAAGAGGCGACAGAGATCGCCACATCTCGACCATCCCCGAGGACCCTCTGGAAAATGAGTCTTGGGGATCATGGCTTGGACGCAATGCCGCAGCAACAGCCTCTGCAATCCGTCACCCCTTCACAGCAGCCGTCAAGCCCGTCCAGAAATTCCGCAAATACGGCTGGGGAACCGGTAACCTGGAAGATAGCTTCACACTTTTATACTACCTCAACGGATCTTTGCGACGCACTCCCGGAAACGACGTTCTGGACAGCAACAACCAGCCACTCGGTGATACCTGCGAGTTCATCCATCCGGTGGTTGGATACAGGGTGAAGACGAAGGGCTACAAACCCATTGGTGGTGCGCATTACTTCCGCTATCAGACAACGTACAAGGACGCGAAGGATCATGATAAGGAGAAGCCGTGCTTTGAGTACGAGATCGGTAATGCAAGCAGGCCATTGCGGGAGTGGCAACTGGGTGGACCTGATTCTTATGAGAGGCTGGCTATTGCTGGCGAGAAGGCTTACGAGTATGTCGCCGAATTGGATGAGGCGTTGGGGATCAAAAAGACCCCCGGGTTCTGTGGGGGTGATGTTCAGCAGGAAGGATTTACCCAGGGTGGATTTCAACCAGCTCCATTCTCTCAAGGAGGATTTAAGCAGAATGGTTTCCAATCGGCCGGCTTTGAAAGCAAACGCTTCCAAATGACTTCGGAGGAAATCTTGATTGAGGAAACGGCGACTCGAGGGTGATTGGGGTGTATGGACAATATTGCCAAATGTCCGGATGGCCCCCGTATATGACTATTTCACAATTTAATGTTTATATCAATTGCTTCTGACCTTGGGGACTCGGGAGGGCCAAACATCGAATTGACATAGCAACGAGGTAAGACGGAAGACGGACTCTCTTGTGTGCCGAAGGAGCATACAGGTGCTTTCCACCCTTGGAAAACTTGCCCTTAGTATGGCATAGAGAAGTACCGAGGAAGCCTCAGAGAATGGCCTAAAAATAGGCCAGAAGCCGGCTCACACATGGCTATGTGTGCCACTGAACCCTGTTTCTCGCGAAAACAAGCATTGTGGAGTGCATTTGGCTGGATAGGTGACGTCGAACGGTAGCCCTATGACCCCTATGACCCCACAGGGCTGAAATTCTCCTATGAAGTGGACATATTTAGGCATCACAATTCTCAGTCTCCATTCTGAGCTAGTCCAGTTGCTCCAGTTGCTCCATTGCATTTCTTGAAAGCTAAGATCTACGTCATCGCTGAGGGGAATATATCCATGGAACTTAACTAGATCTGAGATGTCCGTACCTCGGCCTGTACCTGTTCCTTTTCTTCTGCTTTTTGTTATTTTTGCTCTTTCTGTTTTCTTCCTCTTGACACGCAGATATCAATATACTATGATCCCACGCAAGGTCTACGAGCTGTGTCACCAACCGGAGACCGTCACCTCGGAGTTAGCGCGCGACCCGTCACAATGTCCGACAAAGCTCTTCGACAAACTCTTCGAAGGTCACCATCTATCATCTCTACACAATCATGGGTCAGATTCAAGCTCAGAATCAGTATCGGAATATGAAAAGCTAGACGACTTACAAAAAGCTCGCGCATGTGGGAATTTTGGATCTGCCGAACCGAGCAATCTCTTCTTACAGGTAATTTTCTTGGATCATTCCACTAAGTAAAATCTAACTCAATCCCCTACAGATCTACCATGATGCCTTATGTTCCTTGGAAAAGAACCCCACGTCGGGGGTTGTCTCTCCCCAACTGATGGGAAGTACCGGCGTTGTACCACTAACCATTGTCGCCCCATTACCTGATCTCTGTCGCCATTTAGCGAATTGCATTGCACGCGCCGAACATGAAGTCTTCTTAGGGACTAATTTTTGGGTTTACTCGAATGCGTCGACTTTAGTGACGAATGCTATTCGGGAACTTTCTAAGCAGGCAGGTGAACGAGGTCGGAAGGTCGTTATGAAGATGGTCTATGATCGTGGTGATCCTCGTCAGGTGTCTCCCCTATAATCTGGTTCCTATAATGAACGTACTTGTGAGACAGGGCTGATATATCAGCAGGCATGGGAAAACCGACTCAGCGTCCATGAGGACCAGTACACCGGCGGGAAAGTGAAACTCCCCCCAGCGAGCGAGATCCCCAATGTTGATCTTCAGGTTATCAACTTCCATCGGCCGATCTTTGGAACATTCCATGCGAAGTTCACTGTCATCGATCGGCGCATGGCGCTGCTGCAGAGCAGTAACATCCAGGACAACGACAATGTCGAGATGCTGGCTCATATCGAGGGTCCCATCGTGGATAGTTTTTATGATGCTGCTTTGCTGTCTTGGGGAAAGGTTCTGGAGCCTGCACTTCCCCTTTTGAATTCTCCTGCTGCGGATGCTCCTATTCCATGCTATGAGGAGGAGAGTAGTGGTGCTTCTGCTGAGAGTCGTGCTCAGGTTCTTCCTCAGCATACTGTCAAGTCCGAGCATTATGATCTTGATCTCGAGCATGAGGCCGAAAGAGTGAATGATAGCGTTGTCCCGCGTGGAGAAGAGAAGCCAACGCAGGCCGTTAGCCGCCATCTCAGTATGACCCCGATGCCCAGCTGATAGTTTATGACCATCTCTGACATTAAACCAGATACAACAATCCAACCTGACACGACAGGCGACGCACCAGACACCGACCAAGACCCCATCTTCACACCATACAGAGTCCTCCCCCACCACGAACCTGTACCAATGGCCCTCGTAAACAGAGAGCCATTCGGATGTAAGAATCCCTCCCAGTCCCCCTCAAGTCCAGCCTCGCCTAACACTTCGAAGCCCCAAACCACAGCAATTCCCAAACCCCCCAAAACTCAGCCTGGATCTCGGCAATCAACCACGCAACCAACTCAATCATAATCCAAACTCCAAACATGAACGCTGAACCCCTCCTCGAACCCCTCCTGAACGCAGTCCGCCGCGGCGTTATTGTCACCTGCTATCTCTGTCTAGGCTACAACGACGCAGGCGAGCTCCTCCCTTTCCAGAATGGGACAAACGAGATGATAGCGAATAGGCTTTACAACACCCTCCAGTCTGATGAGGAGAAGGCGAAACTAAGAGTTTTCTATTATGTTGCCAAGGATCAGACGATGCCTATTCATAACAGTTTTAAAAAGAGGAGTTGCCATATTAAGTTGATGGTTGTTGATGAGCAGGTTGCTATTCAGGGTGGGTTATTCCATTCCATTTCCAATACCTTGATATATGATAGGTATGTATTGCGACTTGGATTGTTATCGCTAACACTATTTCTCTCTTCTACCAGGCAACGGAAACCTCGATACACAGTCCTTCTTCCACAGCCAGGAAATCAACGTTCTTATCGATTCATCGGTTGTTTGTCGTGCTTGGCTGGAACTTATTGGTCGCAATCAGAATACTGCTAAGTATGGTGCTGCTAGTGCTAGGGATGGATGCTGGCATCATCCTGAGACTGGTGAGATTCCGCCTGGTTCTATGGGGACTGATCCAGGGAGGTTTAGTTGGGCGAAGGGGTTTGTTGGTGCTGTACAGCGTGTGAGGGGTGTCGGTGGATTTTGAAACGGCTTTAGCATGTTGCTTATTTGCTCATTTTCACTGGATATATATTTCGGCATGATTGGCTATCTTGCTGGGTAATATAGGGCTGTTAACAGCAAATCAACAATTCAAGATCATTGAATAAAGTTGCCCAATACAGCAAGTAAAGACAAATCTAGACTCCATAATTTGAGGTAGCACATCGTCCCAATCCATTCAAGAGACATTACATGTACAACCGGATCATTCCAGATATGCACCGAAGTCCTCCAGAGCTCTACTAGATGAAGAATCACCAATTCACCACCATTACACCCCCATACCTAAATCTTACCTCCTGGAGCCCAAAATGCCAAACCCCTACGACAAACCAATAATGGACATAGTGGACTACGTCTACAAGCACACCCTCGACGAAACCGACGAGAAGATATGGAGCAGCGCGCGAACAGCCCTCCTAGACGCAATGGCCTGCGCAATCTCGACAGCAGCAACAAGCTCCGAATGCATTCGACTCCTCGGTCCCGTTGTTGAAGGGACGACTGTACCGGATGGGTTTCGCGTGCCTGGGACGGCGTTCATGGTTGATCCTGTTACTGGGGCTTTTGGGATGGGGGTTTTGATTCGGTACTTGGATTTTAATGATGCGCTGGGGGGTGTTGAGTGGGGACATCCTTCTGGTATGTTGTTTACAGTGACGATTATGATTATATTGTTATTTCATGATTTGGAGGGTTCGGAAAAATGTGGGATTGGATTTGGGATGTATGATGCAGGGCTAATATTGTGAATTGTAGATAATCTCGCTGCTATCCTTCCAGTTATGGATTGGTTGGCTTGTTCCTCTGCTTCTGGGCGGAGGGTCCATAAAGGTCCGCCGTTGACGATGCAGACGCTTTTGATTGCACTTGTCAAGGCGTATGAGGTACAGGGGTGTTATCAGATGCAGAACGCTTTCAATGCCTATGGGATTGACCATGTGGTTCTCGTTAAATTGGCATCCGCTGCCGTTGTTTCTTGGTTGCTTGGGTTGAGTGAGGAGCAAGCCATGGCGACCATTTCGCATGTCTGGATGGACGGTCATCCGAACCGGGTGTACCGGGCGGGTGCTAATACTATCCCGAGAAAAGGGTGGGCGGCGGCTGATGCGGCGAGGAGAGCTGTGCAGTTGGCTCTTCTTGTTGAACAGGGCCAGCCTGGGTCACCCGGGGCTTTGAGTGCGAAGCCGTGGGGCTTCTGGGAGCGGACGTTCGGTGAGGCAGGGTTTAAGTTCCCGCGGCCATTTGGGTCTTGGGCGGTGCAGAATGTGCTATTCAAGACTATGCCCGTAGAAGGGCACGCGGTCTCGGCTGTGGAGGCCTCCATATTGCACGCTCGGCTGTTTCGACAAAAGGGGCTGTCCGATCCTCTTGGGCAGATCAAACGGATTGATCTTAGAACAACTGCGGCTGCGTATTTGATTGTGAACAAGCAAGGTACGCTGCACAATGCCGCTGACCGTGACCATTGCATTCAGTATGTTGTCGCCTTGGCTCTCTTGAAGGAAGGCCCACCAGAGGCTGCAGACTACTTAGACAAGAGCCCTTGGGCCACCAGTGAGGAGTTAAGATCCTTGCGAGAGAGAATCATGGTGCGCCCTGACTCCAAGCTCACACAGGATTATTTCGATCTTGATAAGAAGAGCATCGGCGCAGGAATGACGGTCCATCTGGTAGATGGCTCCTCCATGCCTGAAATCTTGATTGAATACCCCGTGGGACACGCACGGCATCCTCGAACACCGGCAGCGGCACAGAACAAGTTTTTCCGGAACATGGGTCAGATGTTCTTAGCAGGGGAGATCGGTCGCATATTGGGGGCGGTTCAAAAGCCAGGTCTGCCAGTCTCAGACTTTGTGGATCTGTTTGTTCCGACGGGAAAGGCGAGACTGTAGATGACCAGACAGACTTGGAGCCATGAATGTGTGATGGCGCAAGCCGACAGTATCGATGATTATCTCAATACCTTAATCGATTCTGCCGACTCCTTGTAATGTCAAATAGACATCAGTGCCCCATCCCCAAAGACTCTGCACGGCGATACTACCACCGAAGTATTCAGCGTAAGCTCGGCTCAAGGGCAATCCATAACCAAGACCCGCAATACTGCTGAGATGGCCACTGCTGGCAGAGATAGTATTCAAAGCATCCATGCCACCATTATCCGAGGATTGGAAATCCATATCCGAGAATGTCGTAAAACTATACGACCAGATATGAGGCAGAACCTCAGGCGGAATACCGCCACCGCGATCACGGATGCGAATTGTGATGCTCTGAGACGATGGGGTCCAGTTCCCAATCGTCTCATTCGAGCTCCCTCCGTCACTTTCCACATCAAGCTCAAAGCCGACATCGGTATCACCCTGAACGGGACGCTCATTTCCAGGGACATCTGGCGCAGCAGCGATCGTCACTTCGATCGGTTCACGCTCGTTCCCGTTTTCGATAGTAGCCCGAAATGCGTTCTTCAATAATTCTGTAATGATGTACTCGACGTGCACAGGTACGTGAGCGAACGAAGCCTCAGGCTGGCCTCCAATCTTCAAGGTCGGTCGCACGCCATACTTCAGCTCGCAAATTTCTCCAACAAAGTCTTCACACAGTCGGATGATACTTGCTGGCTGCAACGCCGTGTCAATGACTCCGATGTAGTTGGACGGGATCTTGCTCTGCTGTTTTGGACCATCTGCTGTTTCAGAGGGCGTATCGCTCAGAGGCTGAGAAGCATAATGAAGAGCCAGATGTTGCTCGGCAATCAACCGCGTGCCGATACGAGCTCGCAGATGCGTGTCCAGAAAGCGTGTGACGTCGGCTGGGCTGACGTATTTCCTGCACTCTAGGAAACCACGTGCGAGGACTGGGATTGTGTTTGTGTGTGTCTGTACAAGATCTGCAAGCACATCTCCAAACTGATTCTCCTCTTCGAGGGTTGTGATTCGGCGTTGCTGATATGGTATGAGGGTCGACAGCGAGTGGACGTAATTATGATAGATTTTAGAGACATGGGGATTTGAGACGACAATGTATGGCAGGTTTCGCAGGGCTTGAATCCGAGAAGCCAGGCGGGCGGGCAGTAGTGAGAGGGTGAAGTTGGCCGAAGCTAAAAGTGCGTCTTTGGATAGTGGTGGACGCCCGTGTCTGAATTGAGTAGAATTAGCACTTGGCTCTTTCAATTTGAATGTAAGCAACTCACTTGAGTAAGTCTGCCAGTGTCAAAGCCCGGCGAGGACTGGCAGCCAGTTGCGCAACGTTGTCTTTGGCAACATCGAACGGATGACCAGCCCAATTTTGACCCTGTGATGTGGACGATTGGCGTACGAGGAGTCGCGTAGCCGGCAAAGCCCGACGACCAGGCCTAGACAACATGGCTATTGGTGTTGCCATTGCGATGTGTGGTTGAGAGGAGAGAGGTGGGAGATAACGAGTGAGGCGGTGACGGCAGATCTGCGGGTATCGTCGGTCCAACATCTGTAACTTGCGCCAGATCGGCACAATATTGGTGATCGAAGAAGATGCTTGCAGCTCTCGGTATGAGTGATACACGGCCGCACTCTTATGTCCTACAGTTGTACTCTACATGCTCATAATTCATGAAACTGGTTCCATATCCATGGGTGCCTGTACCTCGCATTCGGAAGCTGGCTAATCATAAGTGCCTGGCATCGCGGAGGAAAGCAGGTCGTGTATTGGTATCATATCATCTCGCTGAAGGAAAAATAAAAAAAAAGAATAAAAAGAACCCTGGGTATCCAGCTCTCGCATTTCCGTTCGGTCCATCAGTGGTCGTAGGGCAGATCGTCTCCGGTGCAATGCAAGCTCTTTAGCCCGGGAAGAGCTTGTCGCAATCAAAAGGAGGACTAGTTGGTGCTGACCACGCCATCCTGCTCGACGTGGATGTGCTCGTTCGACTCAAGGGTCTGAACCTGGTCATCGGGGAACGCGACACTGTAGCTCCAGTCAGCATCCTAGTCCGCGGGAACAATTCGCAGTCCAGGCGAGATAACAAAGCCGCAGTACTCACGTGAACCCTTTGATCAGGCTGTATTCATGCTGGATGACACCGCCCTTCTCCTGAGCGGTCTCCTTGGCCCTTCAAAGGAAGCGGATTAGTAGTGTAGTGTCAGAGAGAGGAGCAATGCGACATACTTTTGAAGTTCCTCGGCGGGAGCGTCGGCCTTGAGGGTGATCTACAAGTTTCAAGATTGTCAGTATGGAGCTTGTCTGAAGCTTCCAAGAAAGATCGAGACTCACGTTGAAAACAGGCATGTTGAGTGATGTGATAGATATGACGGGAAGTGTGAAAGAGAGAAGTGGGGAGGGGAAAGGTGATGTTTTATAGGAGAGGGGCGGGGATTGCCATTTGAGGAACCTCTGGGACTACACAGGCAACTACTGTACCCTACCCATCTTCTTTTTCTTACATCTTCCATCTTACATCTTACATCTTACACCCTACACCCTACACCCTACACCCTACACCTACACCCAATCTTACCCTGGCTGCCTGGAGCCCCAAAATCCCGAGGGATGTCAGTCTGACATGGCTGTGGCATCGGTGGCTGAAACAGGAACTCAACAGCAGGCTGTCACATTGATCCCCTGCAAGGGGGTAAGGGGGCTACAGATTTGTACGTTGATGTGACGGCAATGACATCTCCCGATGACGAACGCGGGGCAGTCACGTGCGCTGCAAGCCATACTTGCATTTGTTCCATAACTGTTATTTTATATTCATACTCCAACATATCCATCTACTTCACGAGCTGGCATCTTCATGCCATGCATACCCTGGTATTTGGGGCACTCTGGGGACTTCCACCCATCTAGGACCTTATCATCAGCCAATTGGTACACCTCCACACCCAGCGGGCGACAAGTGGCTCCCATATCACCCTCCTTATCATCCCACCCCCAGTTGGAAAGATCACCTGAGGCAAATTAGCAGTGCAAACATTGTAGGATGGGCAGTTACATACCACCAGGGCATGCAGACAGCGCACATAGAACATCTACCTCCGCAAAGAACTCAAAGTATTCGCCCGCCTTTGCAGGGGATGTTTCCATGAAGTACTTTCCCTCCTCATCCAGCCCCGTCACCTGAAACACATTCAAGACATCATGGACATCCAACTCAGTCAGCCCATAGGGAGCCACAGACCGGGTCAGGTTTGAGTGGCAGTGGAAGTCAAAGGTCTCCCCACCCATAAGCAAGTTGACGTAGGGATCACAGCGAGTACCCATCAAGTCATGCACCCGCCCTCCAAACTGCGTAGTCCCGAATACAACCTCTGGCTTTCGCTTTCCATCTGGCCCAAGCACGTTATGCAGCTGCCCGCCGCCCAGCGAGTCACCAGTGATCGTCACGAGGGGCCGCAGATATGGCAGGTTCGACCACAACCGGTCGCCCACTGAGACATGGGAGGCATGGATTTGGCGGGTACGCGCCGCCCACATCCGTTCTCGGGGGTTGTTCGCGTTCCAGATGTTCAAGTCGCCTACCTGAGGTCCCTTCGGTGTGGTCAGGCGGCAGATGGACCCGGCGGGAACAACCCACGCTTGACCGGAACAGGGTCTGATAGTGAATGATTCCTTCGGAATACGCGCAGAAGGAGTAGAGGCAGTTTCGGAGATTGAGCGGTAAAGCTGTGAGGTCGCATGCACGCCTGAATCGGGGGGTGCTGTGTAAGCTGGGGGCGGTCTGCGAGACATTATGCACTTGTTTGTGGGGTGTAGAGGCGGGGTGTTGTACGAGGATTGAGACACGAAAGGTTCGCGCGATCTTAAGGCGATATGCTGCACATTTATACGAAAGCGGGGGTTCGCGAAATACTATAGTCCCCGCAAATAGCTAGCCGAGAGGGGAAACTATAGCCATAGATAGGAAATGCTCCGGTTAGACAAGAACCATTTAGTCAGGAGAATGGCTAAAGCCTATGCTTGTGGGGAAAGGCGTTCAGCGTCGGCCCGATGCTTATCTTAGCTTATCACCGGCCCGGGGACGATAACACTAGTCCCTTCTTAGATGAATGTATGCCTAAGGCTAAAATATGGCGCTAACCACATCTGGATACTTTTCACCGCGCCGGGATCCAAGTATTTCCGCTCCGACAAAATAATTTTGGGCCAAGCAGTCGACAGGCTCAATCTACCTCGACTGCTCTTGCCTTCAATTTTCTCTGATATTAGAGAGGAGCCGTGAGGTCTTGCGCCTCACTATTGACAGCATGGAGCAACAGTCGAACAGGTCGCATCGGCCTGCAAAGGAGAAGAAGAAATATGAAGGTACGAGATCACTCCGATATGAGACTGCGAACTTCCAAATCGACCCTTTGCTAATTGATACTTACTTTGTATAGGTGCCAATCCAAAGGCCTTTGTCACATCCAGGCCCGGAAAGCTCAACAAGCAGGCGGCGCGATCGCACGACGTACGTACAAGAAATTTTCTTCGTCAATCGAAGCTAACCTGACTTCTCTTCTAGGTCAAGGAAAAGAGACTCCATGTCCCCCTTGTGGATCGCATGCCCGAGGAGGCGCCTCCCACTATCGTCGCGATCGTTGGACCCCCGGGAGTTGGCAAGACCACGCTTCTCAAATCTCTAATCCGTCGCTACACCAAGCAAACCCTCAGCTCGCCGCAAGGCCCGTTGACCGTTGTTACGACCAAGCGCAAGCGTCTCACTTTCCTCGAATGCCCGTCCGACTCTCTCGCAGCCGCCATCGATGTCTCGAAGATTGCAGACATTGTGCTGCTCATGATTGACGGAAACTTTGGATTCGAGATGGAGACTATGGAGTTCTTGAACGCCTTGTCAACCGCCGGTATGCCAGGCAACGTCTTCGGTATCCTTACTCATCTTGATCAGTTCAAGAAGCAGAGCACCCTGAAGGACGCAAAGAAGCGCCTCAAGCACCGTTTCTGGAGCGAGCTCTACTCCGGCGCCAAGCTGTTCTACTTATCTGGAGTTATCAACGGCCGTTACCCCGATCGTGAAGTGCACAATCTGTCCCGGTTCTTGTCGGTCATGAAGAACCCTCGTCCGCTCGTCTGGCGCAACTCCCACCCTTACTCCCTCGCCGATCGCTTCTTGGATATCACCCCACCTACTCAGATTGAGGAGAACCCGAAGTGTGACCGCACAGTTGCTCTCTACGGTTACCTTCGTGGTACCAATTTCCCAGCGCATGGTGCTCGAGTCCATGTACCCGGTGTTGGTGATTTGACTGTCGCTGGCATTGAGGGCTTGCCTGATCCATGCCCAACCCCCTTTATGGACCAGCAGATTGCTAAGGCGACAGGAAAGTCAAAAGCCCGCAAGCTGGGTGAGAAGTCAAAGCTGCTTTTCGCTCCGATGTCCGATGTTGGTGGAGTCTTGGTTGACAAAGATGCCGTCTACATCGATGTCAAGACCAATACTTTTGACCGTGATTCGGATGAAGACTCAGAAGACGAGGACCGCCGCGGTCTTGGTGAGCAGCTTGTTGTGAACCTCCAGGGTGAGCGCAAGATGCTTGGTGAGGGTGATCAGGGTGTCCGTCTGTTCCGTGGTGGCGAGGCTATCGCTCAGGCGGATGATGATGAGACAGGTCGGAAGGGTCAACGCCGCGCGCGCATTGCCGAAACCGAACAAGATGATCAAGAACTCGACGAAGGTGATGTTTCCGAGAGCGAGGAAGGTCAAGATTTCGACGAGGACATGAGCGATGATGATGATGAAGGCGAACTCGACATGTCAGCACCGGATGACTTTGAGGCTCGCTTCAAGGCCAAGCAAAACGGAAAGACCGGAAAGGCTGGCGAAGAGGAAGATTTGGCATTTGCTGACAGTGATTCCGATCTTGGCTCCATCTCTTCCGTCGAAGACCAGGAACTCGAGAGCGGCGATGAAGATGAAGACGAGGAGGACGAAAATGAGGAGGATGAAGACGACGAAGAGGATGAGGAGGGCAATGTGCGATGGAAGGACAACATGCTTGCCAATGCCAAAGCTCTTCACGGAAAACGCCCCCCATTCCGAGTCACTGACCTGTCGAGAATGATGTACGACACTTCAATTACCCCGGTCGATGTCGTAAAGACGTGGCGTGGTGAGGACTCTGACGACGAGGAAGAGGAAGATGGAACCGCCGACGACGAGGGTGATGAATTCTTCAAGAAGACAAACAATGAGAAGAAAGACCAAGCCGACTTCCGTGCCGTCCCCGAGTACGACTACGACGAGCTGGAGCGCAAGTGGCGGGATGAGGAATTGCTTGAATCTATCAGATCTCGCTTCGTCACTGGTAAGCTGGGCGGAGGCGGCTCAGATGATGAGGACATGGACGACGATCTCGACGAGGATGACGAGGATGAGGGTGATGGTGACTACGAGGACTTGGAATCTGGCGAAGTCTTTAACGGCATCAAGGATGACGATGACGAAGACGACGAAGATGATGAAGAGAAGGGCGACGATGAGCCCAATGAGCCAGAGGATCTTGAAGCCGAACGTGAGCGAAATGCCAAGAAGAAGGAAGAGCTCAAGCTTCGCTTTGAAGAAGAAGATCGGGAAGGATTTGGAAACGCGAAGGACGGGACGCGTGATGGCCTAGAAGGCGAGTTTGGCGAAGACGACTGGTATGATTTGCAGAAGGCGAAGATGCAAAAGCAGACTGATATCAACCGTGCCGAATTCGAGAACCTCGACCCTGCCTCGCGCGCTCGTGCTGAAGGTTACAAGGCCGGTACATACGCTCGGATCGTCCTCGAGAACGTCCCCTACGAGTTCGTCTCCAAGTTCAACCCTCGCTTCCCTGTCATCGTTGGTGGTCTCTCTCCCACTGAGGATCGCTTCGGCTACGTGCGGATTCGTATCAAGAGACACCGTTGGCACAAGAAGATCCTCAAGAGCAACGACCCGTTGATCTTCTCGCTTGGTTGGCGACGCTTCCAGACCATGCCTATCTACTGTACCACGGACAGTCGGACAAGAAACCGTATGCTCAAGTACACCCCTGAGCATATGCATTGTTTCGCTACCTTCTACGGCCCTCTTGTCGCGCCCAACACTGGTTTCTGTTGCGTGAACTCGTTCTCGAACAAAAACCCCGGTTTCCGTATTGCTGCGACCGGTGTTGTTGAGAGTGTCGATGAGCACACCGAGATTGTCAAGAAGCTCAAGCTCACTGGTCACCCTTACAAGATCTTCAAGAACACCGCTTTCATCAAGGACATGTTCAACTCTTCCCTCGAAATTGCCAAGTTCGAGGGTGCATCCATCAAGACAGTCTCTGGTATTCGCGGTCAGATCAAGCGTGCCCTTGCCAAGCCTGAGGGTTGCTTCCGTGCTACCTTCGAGGACAAGATCTTGATGAGTGATATTGTCTTCCTGCGTGCCTGGTACCCCATCAAGCCTCACCGCTTCTACAACCCCGTGACCAACCTGCTCGACCAGGTTGAGGGTCAGAAGGGCGACAATGGATGGCAGGGTATGCGTTTGACCGGTGAGGTCCGCCACGCCCAGGGAATTCCCACACCCCAACTCAAGGACTCTGCCTATCGCCCCGTCGAGCGTCAAGCCCGTCACTTCAACCCCCTCCGCGTGCCCAAGCAGCTGGCCGCCGAGCTGCCCTTCAAGTCTCAGATCACCAAGATGAAGCCCCGCAAGGACCAGACATACATGCAGAAGCGAGCCGTTGTCCTGGGAGGCGAGGAGAAGAAGGCCCGCGATCTCATGCAGAAGCTCACCACCATGCGCAATGAGAAGCAAGCCAAGCGTTCTGCCAAGCAGGAAGAGCGCCGCAAGGTCTACCGTGCTAAGGTGGCTGAAGGCCTGGAGAAGAAGGCTGAGCGTGAGAAGAGAGAGCGCAATGATTACTGGCGCAAGGAGGGCAAGAAGCGTAAGAACACCGATGAAGAGGGTGGTGGTGGCCGCGGCAAGAAGCGTAAGTGATCTATTCGTTTTGGACATGATTGTTCTACATGGGTCTTTCTTTGCATAAATGGCGTTTGGACCCAAAATTACCTATGTACCTACATATATTGAATGTTATCATAACTACTCCTGCATCTGCCTCTAGCCCTCGGTTCTCTCCCCGGCTTCGCTCTGCCCCTATATCTGGCCACATAGTAAACACGGTTTCAATAGCGCACTACAAAGTGAAAGCACCAAGCACCCTAGGTTCGAATTGTACTCCTGCGTCTAGCAGGGGAAGATCTGTGGTCTAATATCAGGGCTGGAGCGCCCCTCCCATGGATACCACATCTACCAACCCTAGCTCGGCCAATATCAAACATCTATACAACCTCACTTTTTCCTCACTCTTTCCTCATAGCAGACTTAGTTTTGACTCACGTAGACCTATATTAACTTGACTCGTTGCCCTCGTTCTGCTTTCCTATCTCTCCATCCTACACATCTTTCATCAACTTCTGTCTCATTTTCTAGCAAGTTTCATCAAACCTTCTTTATATACACACACTTAGCAATCAACCAATCATCTCATCAACATGGCTCCCATCGACCTGTCTGTCCGCTCTCATCCGGACTATTACGACAATCCAGAGAAGGAGGAATTCCTAGGTTGGTATATTTTCGGCTGGGCTATGGTTGGCCTTGCTGCTATCATTCTGGCACTCATGTAAGTACCTTTCCTATCTACCCAGGGATTCAAAGAGAGTTAAAGTACTAACTAGCTTACAGATGGGCTAAGCGCAAGGACAAGCTTATGCCCAAGCTCCAACAGTGCAAGGAGGATTTGGGGGAAAAGATGACGTGGAAATCGTCGACGGCCTCCAAGGTCATTGGTAAGACTTATACCCCATGTCATTCTTTTGGAGAGTTTCTTATGCTGACTCTGTCTCCAGCGAAGCCGAAGTCGGCTCATGTGGCTAATCACCACGTTCAGGAGATTGCTGAGGTCGATCGCATCACCGCTGATCTGTCCCCGGAGTATCTCAAGAAGACCACTGCCGTTATGGGGTGTCTCTAGGGGATACTCGGTAGATGGTGGGGTTCAGGACTCAGTCTGTGTATAGACTGGGCCCGGGGACTTTTATACTCTTTTCTTTTGTCTTTTTTTTTTTCTGTTGTCCGTTTTGGTTTCTATATGCTCACTTGTTCTCTTCACGGTGACTTTGATTTGGTTTTCTAACATTTGTTTCTGAGTTTGAATGCATGTTGCATTAGTTTCCGTCGTCATTTTCGTCATTGGCGTTGAGTCATTGCTTTGAAGTTTATTTCCATGACTAACATATGTCTTTTCTGTTTGCAAGCTCCAAATGTATAACTTTTTCTGTCTTCGATCTTGTTGCCCTTGTAGACTTGTAGCTATAGTAGATGTGGATACAGTCGAGGTATAGACAACCGTGAATATCTCCGTAGCCTAAACCCCTCACACCCATTCTCAATTGCAAATGCCTATTAGCTCTCTAAAGATACAGTTGAAGCCTCTTTTCCAACACTTCCTCGTCACCAAATGCACTCAATGTAGTCTAGTCGCATCGACAAGCCACCACGTGACCGCGCCTCGCACGCGTCGCCGCAGATGGAAAGCCGCCGTCCCTCAACCAACCCAATTTATTCGCTGGCAGACTGTGGCGCTTCTTTAATTGTTCTCTCAAAGCCCTTGTCCCCTCCAATCCCTCCAACCCTGGCTATTCATCCGGGGTGGAGACCTGCTTTGTGCTGTCGCAACCTTGCGCGTGCTAGTCGGTCGCCACTCGATCGGGCAGATGCTCCTGGTTCCAGCGTCCACCACCCGCGCGTGTTGAGATCTCGACTGTCCCTTAGTGCATCCCGGTCTCGATGCGGTGACTAGACAGGTGTTGAGAGCGGCCGCGTAAACTCGCGATTAAGCTAGGTCGCGTGCATTTATCAGCGCTATCCCATATCCATCTTTTAATACCTCTCACTTTTGACAATGGACGGTCGCGATGCTTCGAGTCGCGGGGCGCATGCGGAGAACCGTGCGAACGCCCCCGTGAATCACGCGACACCTACAGTGCCTGTCGAGACTCGGAGAGCGCCATTGTCACTACGTGTAGATGGCTTGAGCGCCGTTGCTGTCGCTTCCGGCGAGGGCAACTCGACCCCAGCCTATATCGAATCGGAGCGTGGTAGTGATACTTCGGATGGTCGACGACCTGACCTTTACTCCGCCAGCATCGTCACAGACTCCCTGTCCAGTCTTCCTTCGTCCAATGATACCAGCCGATTTTCAGAACTTGGCAACTCGTATACCTCGAATGAACATGGATCAGTACCACAAATCAATCAAACGTCTTTACAGTCGGCAATGGCGCCGCAGACACAGCCGGTGAATGGGAATGTCGCAGAACGGTGGCAGCCCTCTCTACCAACAATAGAGGCTGGCAATGGGTCACCTCCATGCTTGCCAAAGCATTCGCGCACAAAGTCGAACTTTGATGGGCTGGCTCCAGGGCAGAAAAGAACAGCAACTGGGGATATCAAGCCCGTTTCATTAGATACCCCCGCGACCCACAGTGATGCGAATGGAACTACGCGGCGACGCTCAAAAAGCACTGGCTCGTCGGTTTACGGAAGTAGGATTGCGCAGGTATTTGATTCTCTCAATCCCCTCCGAAGACCTATAGCTCATTTATAATACCCAGCTATCGGTTCACATCCGTACGCGTCTATCATACGCGGCTGCAAAAGTGGAGAAAGAGAAAGAGAAAGCCAGACTATCACTTGAAGCTGGTCCTCGCCCCACACTCCGCACATATCACAGCGCATCACCATTGAGCACCGCACCAAGTGACGTTGCATCAGCACCAGAGATAAACCGGCCATCTCTTTCACACCAAAGCTCCAGCTCCTCCAACGGAAACTCCAATTGTTTCCCTAGTCATAACCGCTCACGATCAGCATTCTCATCTCCTCACCTCCTATCAATTCCTAAACTAGCACCTCCTGTTGATATCATCTCATGTAATGGCGACAACCGACGCCGTCGACCAAACCCTAATGCTATCTCAACCCCTCTTAATCACAGCCCCGTCCGCCGTCACCGACGGCACCATTCACACCAGGAGCACGGACTAAACCGTCCAGTCCTAGGTTCTGAAACTCCCTCCCTCTCATCAACCACACATGCACCAACCTCCACCCCGAACGGATTCTATCGACCCCGCACCAATTCCCAAAACACATCGATGGAACAAGACGCCATTGAAACCCTCATGTTCATGTCCAGTCCCGAGAACTCAGGATACCGCTTCAGTCCTCGGCCACTACAAACCACAAGCACACAAAGCAGTCTAAACGAATCAATCAACACCAGCAATGGCACCACTCACAATGGCAGCCAAGGCTCGCAAAACTCCGGTTCCTACAGTGGCCGTGGATACGAAACGAAACCGGGACTGGAAGCCCATGCCGGCGATGACATTGATCGCCTTTTGGATCAGATGGATAGTGATAGCGAGGATGAGGGGCGGTATGCGTCTTACCGTCCAGCTATTAGTGGCGCGCATCCTTTCAGAGGACATCATGGACGCCAGAGATAATTGCATTTATTGGCTTTGCTGTTTGGCGGTTGCATGTAATGGTCAGGTGGAACCAGGTTGCATTCCTTTTGGGCTTTTTGCATAGTGCATTGTCATGCTGTGATCACGAGCGGTGGGCTTCTGGATAGGACTTTGCCGGATTGGCTGTATTGGAAATTTGAACTGGGCTGTTTGTTGGCCTGGTGTAAATCGTAATATGCATTCAATTGGTTCTATATGCTTTTATGTGACTGTACCTCATAGGGTACTCTATATATTAACGTAAGTCTATGCTTTTCTTGTGCGCTAGTATCGGTACTTCAATACGTAGGCAATCAATGCGCAAGTTCCTGTGGTTTGGTTAGTCCCGAGCAGATAGTACCGGAGAGGAGTTGATCACTTACGCTTGCCAACTTGCTCTTGGCTCGAATTTGAGGTCCGTAAAAGGCCAGCACCCATGGAACTAGAGTGAGAACAGCGCCCTATCCATATACGTCAGTTATATGTTCTCCAAATACTAATCAAAACAGCTTACCAATGCTCCTAGCAAACTGGATGCCTCTGGATATCCAAGGTTGTTGAACATGGCATTCGTAACCAAGGGGAAGACACCACCAAGCAAGTTACGACCTGCAACCAGAAAAAGTCAGTCAGTAAAGTATATCATAAAAGCCAAACTAAAGCCAAAAACTTACAGCAAGACTGCGCAGCGATCGCCGAACTGGCATACCGATGATAAGTATCAGCCAGATAGTTGAATGTCGCCAAATAAATCGAGAAAATGCCCATGGTAGCACATCCAACCGCCAAAGCCGGCACAATCCACGGCACAGAGGGGAAAGAAGTCCAACCAAACCAGAACAACCCAATAGGTAGTAGAATGGACTCGATGCAGACGAAATACAGTCGACCCTCTGCGGCAGTGGAGTGCAGACCGAAATGCTTGGCGACTCGCTCTTGGTAGATACTGATGATAGTGATGATGATAACGCCGACGCACATAGATGTGAAGACGGCGCCTGTTTGCTCGGTTGTGAAGTTGTGGTTCGTGCGGAAGATTAGGGGTACCGAGCTGAATTGGAGGTAGAGGACTGCCCAACTGAAGGAGACCCAGAGGGAGAAGAAGAAGACGACTGGTTCGGTTACGAGCATGTCTGGGGACTTGTTAGCGGGTGGTGATGAGGTTGGGGTTAGGATTGGGATTGACGTACGGAATGGTCGATACAGGGAGATCTGGACCATGCTTAGGATTGAAGCTCGTTGCTCGTCGCTCTTGACTTTCCATCGGATTCGTCGAATGCATTTCTCATCGGGGAATTCCTCATTTGAGAGGATGACGCCGTAGTGGCCTGCTTCTTCGAGTTTTTCGTAGTACTTGTTCAAGGTCTTGGCTTTTCGGCTTAGCAGGACGCTGCCGCGGGTTTCTTTGAAGAAGAAGTAGATGATCACGACGAAGGCTGCCGATACGATTGCGTGCGAGAAGTAGACCCAGCGCCAGGTGGTGTGGCTGACGATCACGCTGGAGATTAGTGGTGCTAGGCCTGTGCCGAAGAGGGCTGATGCTGAGAAGAGGGCCATTGCTGTGTTGCGGTCGTGGGCGTGGTAGATGTCGCTGATGACGCCGCCTACCATTGTTGAGAAGGTTGCTGTAGAGTATTTATTAGTATTTGAGGTTTTGACTTGGGTTAAGTATATACTCACAGCCACCCATGCCCTGGAAGAATCGAGCAACGCACAATCCGGCGAAGGAAGTTGTTCCTCCACAGCCGCAGAGAGAGGCTGTCATAGATTTTGTCAGTATGCGGATGATTTTGTTTCCATCACAAGACCTACCGACAAAGACAATACCACTTGCGATGAAGATCGGCCGCCGACCATTTAGCTCACTAAATGGGGCAAGTAGCATAGGCGCCAGAGCAAAGCCGATGCAGAAGATAGTAATACTGAGGTTATACACAACAGCACTAATCCCCCACTCCAAAGTCAACTCCTCCGAAGCAGGACTGACCTCACCAGCAGCATAACCAGCCAGTGCAGTAACCGCGCAAGCAATGTAAGTCATCATAGACTTGCGCCATGTTGGCCATAAAAACGGCGAGATGTATTTCTCCAGGCTGGGCGCCTCAGGTGCTGGCGACTGGTTTGGACCAGGAGGCAAACTGATACACGGCGTTGGCAGGGCTGTTTCCAGTTCTAGGTATCGGAATTCGATATCTTGTGACTCAGTTTGGGACTCGGGGGACCCCTCGCGCTTCTCCATGACTGTCGACTCTTTGAGGGAGACAGATGTCTCTGAAGCCATCGGGGTGGATTTGAGGGTGCTTGTTTGAGTTGACTCATGGATTTGGGGGACACTGACAATTTTATAAGAGACTAAACGTGGAGGACGTGGGTCTTGAAAACAAATTGGAGAAATTGGGGATGAAGAGCCGAAATAGTCTGGGTTCCCCGATCTGATATCGAATATGTGCTATACCAATTTTATTTGGTGATCGGTGTATCGAATTGTATGAAGACTTCAAGGGTTTCCCAGTTGAACAGCACACAGAATAGCATACATTGGAATGATACACAACATCAAAATCCTTTTCGGTCTTCTGAGCGAGCGACGTACACAGACCGGCTATACTTCCGGAGGCAAATGCTGAGTCATGAGATCCCCGAATTGGAGAATTGAAGAACCCCAATCTACTTGTCCAGTGCAGAGTGAACACCTCGGGATGCAGCGAATGATTAATAATTAATATGCAAGGATGTTTCTAAATTAAAATAAATCAATAACTCCGTCTATCATTCCAGGTAAGGTAAGTAATAATGATGCAACATGTAGAAGCTTAACTATGTGTAGTGTCCAGCATGGAGGCAAGGATATTCCGGAGTAAGAACCTCTATTCCCCGACCACATACTCCGTATTGTCACTGGAACTCCGACATTCTCCAATGTTGAGTAACAAGCCCTACCAATGCCAGCGATGCCCGAGGGCATTTGCTCGTCTCGAGCATCTCCAACGTCATGATCGCTCACGTAAGTCTCTGTGCTCGAACGGGAGACCGGCATCTGATACCCCACAGACACCAAAGAGAAGCCATTCACCTGTGCCCAGTGCCCCAAGGCATTTACACGCAAGTATGATACATCCATAATGTTCTAAGTACCCCCCATTGACAATGTTTCAGAGACTTGCTAGCCCGTCATGACCGTCTCTCCCACACGGAGGGCAGTCCAAGTCGGAGTCAAACAACGCCTTCCTCCGCGCATCCCATCCTGGACGGATTGGATACCTTGGCGTCTGTTGTCACCGACCATGCCCAATCTCGCCGTTCAATAGGATCTAATGACCAATTCTCTGAGCTGTCACCAGCTGTACACCGCACCCCCCTGATCAGTGAGCAGTTAGCCAGCGACACTCCCTCTGCAGGCCCCACCCCCATTGCAGGTCCGGACTTTGGCTATCTTGGTGGCTTTGCCCCTGGTAACTACGAGGGGAACGACTTTACTTCCTTTCTGGATAGTGTACCCCTGCCTAGTCACCCGTTCTCGCCGGCTTACCAGCCTCTCCCCTTGTTTCCCCCGCTGCACTTCTCCCCCGTTCCAGATTATGATCAGTCTTCGGATAGAGCACCCTTGACTGAAACTACTCCGGCCACTCCTTCTAGCTCGGTCCTTCCTCGCCATGGGGCTCAATTGCCTTCTCTTCAGCCGGAGGGGTATCAAACTACCCCCAAGGCGCGCCAGCCTACGGGTTTCGTACCTGTTACAGCGCAATGTCGGGAGAAGTTCATGAATCTGTTATCTGATTATGCAAATGTTGTCCCAGACCCATCTCTTCCATCCCGGCATGCGCTGTCCCGGTGCTTAACTGGGTATCTGACGGGTTTTCATGATCACTATCCAATTGTGCATATCCCAACCCTCAATGTGGAATCGATGACCTTGCCGCTGTTTCTATCGATGGCAGCATTGGGTGCGCGGTACTGTCGCGAACCAGAAACTAGCATGCGTCTCTACCAGATCGCTAAACCGGTGACCTTGGAGCATGTCCGGCGGGTTTTTCAGTGTGGCAAAATGCCACCTGTCAATGTGGCCGATGACACTGATACACTGGAAACATTACAGGCGCTGTTATATTTGACGTCGGTGTCGGCATGGTTTATCAACAACCCTCCTTACCACGAGGCATTGTCGATTCGCAGTCTAATGGAGATGCTCCTTCGAAATGGAGGGCTTAACCGGCTCCCTGAGCACGACGGGACCTGGCGCAGATGGATCCGACGGGAATCTGTGAAGCGGATGAGATTAATTGTGTTCTGTTTCTTTAACATTCACACTATCGTCTTTGACGTTCCGCCCGTGATTCTTACTGAGGAAGTCACTATCGAGCTGCCCTGTACCGAACAAGAATGGCAAGCTCCACACGCAGACCTCTGGCACAAAGCGCGCATGAAAAGTCCCGGCGAGCCGAAGTTCCAGAATGCCCTCTCCGCACTTTTTGAACCAAACAGCAACGTGGAGCGATTCTCCTCGCTGGGTGGCTACGTACTAATTCACGCCATCCTGCAAGACATCTGGCTCATGACCAAAGCGGGTCGCCTGCCCGTCTCGAGACGAAATCGCTTCAATCCTTCTTGCATCTCATCAACACCAGAACTTGTCTCTGTTGAGCAAGCCCTGGAACGCTGGTGCCAATGCTGGGAGCGCAATCAAGAGTCCTCGATCGATCCACTCAGTCCACACGGCCCTCTGTCCTTCACTTCCGCAGCCCTCCTCCGACTAGCATACATCCGCCTCAACGCTGACTGCGGCTCAGCCCGCCAACTTCAAACCTGGGACCCGGTCCAAATCGCCACTAGTCTCCGCGAAAACCTCTCCGTCCGCCGTGGCGACCGTCTCACACGCGCGGCACTACACTGCGCCCATGCCCTCAGCACACCCGTCAAGCTAGGCATCGGCTTCGTCGCCCACTCGCAGGTTGCACTATGGTCGAACCAACATGCATTATGCTCCCTCGAGTGTGCAGTCCTTCTTGCCAAGTGGCTTGAAGCGGTGACAGTGCCACATCCAGACCCAGCATTGACAGAGCAAGAAGCCAGGCTGAGGGATTTCGTGCTAGAGATGGTGATGGAAGTGCAGCATGGCGTATCACGGGAATGGCTGCTTGCTACAAATACACGGCTCAGTGCGGCTGTTACTCGCTTATGGGCGCGGCTGTTTACAGCGGATTATATCTGGGAGATGGTTGCTTTGATTGGGAGGTCTTTGAATAGTTATGCGGATTTGTTGGAGCAGTAGATGAGATGAATTATATACACAATTTTTAAAAAACTGTAACCCGAGGGACTCGAAATGGGCCAAAAAAGAAATGAAAAAAGAGGGGCCAAAAGAGGGCGAAACAACGCATGAAACAATACTTGTCTAATTAGGGCTGATTGCCGTAGACAGTCTGCTTCACTCCGGCAGACTTGCCAGGCTACTCAATCAGGCCTTACTTGGCTGATCCTCTCTCTCAATCACATCCAATGCTGTGGGACCACTCGGCATTTCTCCAATTCCAGCTTCATCTTTCGAGTCTGACAACATCGTACTTCCCCACCTACAGGGCGTATGCAGATGACTCAGAAACCCGGACCTCGGATGCAGCTGCCACATTGAATCTCCGCCACCTCCGCGCATATGAGACAATATATAATAGCCCTAACTCCAACGTTTCGCAAATTCATACTTCCAACCTGACTGACACGTATCAAACTTAACAACATTAACAATCACCCAACATGGCACCCACCGCCCTGAACACAACCCCCAAGATCCATGCCCTCCTCAAAGACCTGCACAATAAATCCCTGACCCAAGAATCAACCCTGAGCTGGCCAACCCTCCCAGCGCGATGCACAACCGAATGGGACAATATCATGCGCGACAAATTCATCGCACTGGACCAAGACAAGTGCGAACTGGTCTACCATATCTTGCGCAGCATCGACGCCACAAACGTCGTTGAAGCCGGTACCAGTTTCGGTGTTAGCACTATCTACCTCGCACTTGCTGTTGCTGAGAATGCCAAGCGTGCTGGTGGCCAGGGAAAGGGTATGCCTAGGGTTATTGCTACCGAGAAGGAGGAGACCAAGGCTACCATCGCACGGGGCCATTGGGCTGCTGCTGGTAAAGAAGTTGAGGAGGTTATTGAGCTTAGAGTTGGGGATTTGAGAGAGACTCTCACTAAGGAACTCGGGGTTGTGGATTTCTTGTTGCTTGATAGTATGTTCTGCCTTCCCTTCCTTCCTACCATGCATTGTAGGGATTTCTTTCTGGGTATTGGACTGCGTGCTACATATCAATATCCGTTAACGTGTAATTATACTAATCTCATATCTCTCAGTTTGGACGCCCCTCGCCCTCCCTGCGCTGAAGTTGTGCCAGCCGTATTTCCGTCCCGGTGCGGTTATTATTGCTGATAACACTGTTAAGCTGGGTGATCATTATCAGGAGCTATTTGACTATGTGGATGCTGAGGGGAGTGGGTTCCGCCGGGTGACAATGCCGTATAGTGGTGGTATTGATATGATTGTTTATCAGTAGATATAGCTTATCGTATGGTCCCTACTATAATCCTTGTTATAATCCTCCTTATAATCAGTTTTCGATCAGAACGCTGTTGCTATCTCAAAGCAAGCGGCCAAGTACGCGGCCAATTGTCCCCAAGTGAGCTCTGATGAACTGGAAAATCGACAAGCAAGTGGCGGAATTTCTCAAACCCGACTGCAAATCAATAATCACCTGGTGTAAACTAATTGCTGATCAATGAGCTAAACGTCAGGCTAAGGCGCGTAAAAGGACGTAGATCAACCAGAGTAGCTTCCCGTCCGATCTGATAAGCATCTGCACGTGCCCTAGTTCCTTCTCTCATCTTTCCCTCTATCTTTCTTTTCCCATCCTCCCTCTTTACAACATATCCATCATGTACGATCTTCTTCATTATGTCCTTCGTGACGTATAGCCTCGGCCAGAAATTCACTGTTCGCTCACATATTCCTCCACCACCAACGACAGTGACTTACGAATCTTGCCTTAATCGAAACCCTGAGAAGGAGAAGCAGAACCGCCGTGGCGCGCTTCAAACATGCCTGGACTTTCCTCCGCTGCCAGGTACTGATGGTTCATTTGATGTTGAGCTAGAGATTGTTGGGCTGCTGCGAGTGAAGGATAACTGCAACGCGCAATTACTCGTTGTTCTAGTCCGCGGAGCTACACCGGAATCTCCTAAACTCCTCCCCGGTAAACGTTTTATTGCTAAAGTGTTTGATCCTCTCTTTGTCAAAACGGAAGGAGGGGAAGTCAATCCAATTCGGCTTACGGACAAGCACTATACCCACGAAGTTGCCGCATATCAGAAACTATGCGACCTCCAAGGGACTAAAATCCCGAGTTTCTACGGATCTTTCACTTGGGAGATTCCTGTACGGGAGCAGGGACACGTATCTCGCACAGTTCGCCTTATCCTGCTGGAGTTTCTACCCGGGATCTCAATGGCAGAAGTCAACGCAAAACGATTCTCGATACAAACTCAGCAGAATATGATCAAGAAGATCATCGACTTCGAAACTGACATCTACGTACGAGGCATTGAGCTTGCAGACCTGAGTCCCCGCAACGTCATGATGACAGACTCGACGAATCCGACAAAGCTTCATTTCCTGGATTTCGGGAACGCCCTCTTCTTTGACAGGGATAAGGAAAACATATCACCCCTGTCGAGGTGGGCTGACGGCGATCTGGTAGTACCGTTCGGATATGACTGGATTAATGACTGGGACTGTGAGTATGAGTCTTGGTTTGAATCCCAATTGGCCGAGACAACTACACCGTAGTCGCAAACGATTCACCAGCAACATCCACGTTTGGGTCCACAGAAAGAGCTACAAGATACCTCAAAGCGTTCATACGGTGAATCAGACTCAATATAGACACAGTTGCCTCTGAGATAGGCGAGGCAACGACATTCATTACTGCGAATCGTCACTCAAAACTTTCTCTATCGCCCGACTTCCAACAATATTGCAAGTACCTACTGTGCCACGTTCCCTCAAGTTACACTTCATTCTCCACGCCGACATTTCCAAGCTTCCTCGTGCCGGGACGCAGTCGATTTACCGTGGTATTGAGGACAGGATTTAGAATTGAATGGAGTGGCTAAAACTTTACTGGAACACTTTCTTTCCTCCGCATATTTCAATAATTAGAGATCAATTATCTCTATTGGTAACGTTGTATCGGTTTATAGACAAGGTATACCAGCCTGTAGAGTGTAGTAGAACATGTCCATCTACAACCTACAACCCTCCACCTCATAGTCCCACATATCAACCCCTCACTACAATCGCCCAACATCAACAATCAACCCAACTGCACACAACATCTTCTCTCCATCAAATCCACCAAAACAAAAACAAACAAAAAATGCCATCAAACGCCCTCGCCCCAATCCCACCCCAAAAAGAAGGCCACTTCAACACTTCCCCAAACATAAACCCACCCCCCTCCACCACAACAAAAGCCTACAAACTAAATCACCTCGCAATTCGCATAACAAACCCAACAGCCTCCTTAAACTTCTACATCAACCTCCTAGGAATGCGCATAATCTTCACAATGAACGCGGGCCCCTTCACAATCTACTACCTAGGCCATCCACCACCTGATCTCAAAACCGGCGAGGAACTGGATAACTGGGCGAAGAGGACAGCCGAGATTCCGAATATGACCGCCACGGCTGGGTTATTGGAGTTGTATTATGTTCATGGGAGTGAGGGTGGTGAGGGAGGTGGGGGTAGCAATGGTATATCGACTGGGAATGTACCTCCACACCTTGGTTTTGCGCATTTGGGCTTTACGGTGCCTGATATTCCTGCTGCTGTGGCGAGGTTGAGGGAGGCTGGTGTGACGATCTTGAAGGATGTGGGTGTTTCTTCTAGAGAGACGGTGCCGCTTTCGGAGTGGGAGCAGAGGAGGGGGGTTGGGTGTGGTGAGATTCATGAGAATTATGCGTGGTTCTTTGAAAAGTTTGCTATGGTTGCTGATCCGGTGAGTTGAATACTTTGCATACTATGGCTGGTTATTGGGTACTGGTTACTGACGTGTATAGGATGGGTATACGGTTGAGTTGATTCCTCAAAGTATTTGATATCTCATGCTGTGATTGAGTATCTATGCATTTTATAGTTTACAATCGTTTATTGAGTCCGGAATATCTTGTATCCATGCGAAGAGCTAAATGCAGCCTATACACACGCGTGATAGTACATGGGAGACGCAAGGTATGAATGAGCAAGATGTGAGCAACGAGCAATCCGCAATGAACAATAATCATTCAATCCTTTTTACTCCGCTCCCCAACTATCATCCTCCGCAACATCGTAATCCATATCCCGTGGCGGCGCAGTGTTAACTGGTGGCGCCGAAGACATCGGCGTGTCTTCGGGTTCATTGTGGTCAAATCCACCTGAACCCTTGGACTCTGCTGATCCGGCCGGTGGGAAAGTGATGGGAGGGTTGGGCATCCAGGTTAGCTGGACATCGCCGACGGATGGGATGTTCCAGGGGGAGAACATGAGTTTTTCGGCTTGGAAGCGTTCTTTGAAGGCTACTACGACCGAGTTGGGTTGGTCTGGGTTTCTTTCGATGGATTCGTATTCGCCAATGCCCTGGGTTACGTTAGTATATCTATACTGTTGGAGGGGAGCGATAGTTGGGGATAGTGTATGCTTATATCACTTACCATCAGGTGCTGACGAAGTGCCTCGTCCTTGTCAGAGTTGAGCTCAACGCCTGACACAGCAACACGGCGAGGTCGGTTATCCAAACGGAGGACACCTCCTCGTCCGCGAGCTCCGAATCCACCCCGTCCACGGTATCCCCCGCGGAACGAGGGATCATACCCACCGCGTCCGCGGGATGCGCCTCGGCCGCGGTACCCTCCACGACCGCGATAGCCACCGCGACTTGCGCTTGCAGGGTCAGCCTCAGGGTCGAGACCCAGACTCTTGGCCTCGGCCTCGAGGGCGGCCAATTGGGCGCGCAACTGCTTCGTCTCGTCGCTCACGTTCTCGTCAGCAGGCTCGCTGCCTGTGTCCATGGCGTTGCCGCCATTGCTTGTGTCTGTGGACCCTCCAAGACGCTGCATGAGACGCGCTCGCTCGTCTTGCTGTTTCTTGAGGAGCTCGTCGCGTTGCCGCTCGAGGGCTTGCTTGGCTGCCTCGGTTTCATGTCGTTTCTTCATTTTCTCCTCGTGGGCCCGTTGGGCTTCTTCTTGCTGCTTTTCGAATTCTTCTGGGTTGAAAGCTGGTGCTTCGGGCTGTGCGTGGTTGTTCTCTTCCCGGCTTGGTTTATACCAGTAAACTTTTACGAAACGGTTGTCGAAAATGACCTTGGGACTCGACCACGCGGCCTTGGCTTCGGGGAAGGTATCATACTTGACCAAAGCGAGCTTTTTGTAGGGCTGCAATGAGACCTCCACGATATTGCCGAATTCAGAAAAGAACTCGCGCACAGATTCTTCATTGAACTTCTCCTCGGGGATCTGCTCCACCACAATCGTCGTAATCGACTGGTCCTCATTAGGTCCTGCCGACGAGAAATCGGACCGGCCGCGTCCTCGTCCACCATAGCCACCACGGCCACGGCCACGACCGCGGTCACCACGGGCATGACCACCGCCTCGCCCGTTGTAACCGGCAGTCTTAGGGTCATATTCTGCAGCCATTAGCATAGGCGCATCGAGCATGTACGGGTTCCTCTCACCATCATCCTTCGCACCGCTCTCGCCGTGCTGGTAGAAGCAGTTGTTCCCAAGGTAACAAATACCCTGTGTGTCATACATCGGACAGCGCTCGTTACTCTTGGGCATCTGCTCACCACCAGTCTGCCCAGGTGCACCAGGCATACCGGGCATGCCAGGCATTCCCGGCATCTGGGGGAATCCCATTCCCTGCATGGCCATCATTGCAGCCATCGGGTCGTTCTGGTCGAACTGCGGGAATCCTGGCATCCCGGGCATCATGGGGAACCCACCCGGCTGCTGTTGCTGCTGAGGGAACTGCTGTCCAGACTGCATACCACGGCCCATGAAGTCGCCACGACCACCACCGCGCCCCCCACGCCGGGGAGTTTTCATCGCGCGGTTCTGCAGCGAACCGTCATCGCGCTCCGGCTCGCCCTGGAATCCCTCTCCGAACGTCCGTTTCCGGTTGGCGGGGGTATCGTTTCTAGGGCCCGTGGGGACATTGACTGGAACTTGCGATTGGGGTGCGGCATTCGCGTGCTGAGACTGGATCTGAGGCTGCAGTCCAGGAGGGGCAGACGGCTTGGGGCCAAAGGTTGAGAAGAGGTCTTCGACAAAGGGCTTAGTGTCTGGAACGGTGTCAGCGATTTCAGCGGGGCCAATGCGATCGAGATGTGGCACGTACGCTCGCGTAGGAAATCTTCCAGATTTTCCACAGAGGTGTTTCTAATCTCGTCATCTGGCGCGTCAGATCTGATTAGCGCCAGAACGTAGTCTGCAAGTACATCGGAGTCGGCATCGGAGCTAGAGGACGATATCATGTCTTAGTCTGGTGCGTTCTGTCTGTCAAGGTCCAATTCGAATTTCTCACATATCCTCCAGTTTCTTTACCACCCACTGCTTCACCCCGGCAGCTTCCTCATCGGTGAACTGCATGCTGGATATGTTTTTCGGATGATCCTGAGATGTGAGTTTCGAATTGCGTAGAGAGAAAGATCCACGCGAACGTAAATGCAAGGATCCAGTCTCAAAGCCGGGTTTCGGGCGATATCTTTGTGCGCTGATATTATTCTAGGCGGGTATGAATTGGACAATACACGACTTAAAACAGGGGTTCGACAAAATAGGTATCGAGTTCGTCAGTAGTTACCCCAAGCCATGAGGGAGGTTGTGATGTGAAGACATCGCGGCGCAAAGCGGTTTTGAAAACGCGCGCGGATACCATCACGTGATGCGTGTCATTACACCAAGCTTCGGCTTCTGCCAACCCACCAGACGGACGTGTTACCCTCTGGCGCAATTGCACATTTACTGGTCTACTTTGTGAATCTCTCTACACTAATTCAAATACTACGACAAAACCGTGTCTAGCATACCAATTTATTTTCATAGCGAAACTGGCAGCTAGACTCAGTAAAGGAACAAAAAGCAAAATATAGTCCTGAAGCAAATAAGGCAAGACGCGAAAGCTAAGCACCTGAGAGTCGCCAACTCAAGGCCAACCTTCTAGACGCAACGGTCGAAGCGAGTAACGAAGAACGATGGGGTAAAATTTTGTTGAACTGGAGAAATTGTATTGAATTCATCATTCTCATAAAAGTTTCCACGAATGACTGGCAGAGACGCAATTCTGGTTGTCCGTGACCATTTTTACAGCTTGTCGTAGTACTGAAGAAGAAAGTTAGCAACTGTAATATAGACCACTGAGAAAAATAGAAACTTACGTTTTCGTAGCCGGGGACGACCTCCTTGAGACCCTTGCGCTTGCGCATCTCGGTGACGATCTGACCGGGCTTGGTGGTGGGGTCCAGAGGAGAACCGCCAGACAGGATAGCCCAGTGGTCGAAGACGGACTGGGGGAAGGCCTGACCACCGGTGGCGGAGCGCAGATCGGCGGAGAAACCGAAGGACTCGTTGACGGGCAGGTAAGCGCGGACGTTGAACAGAGGAGTACCGGGGCGCTGCTCCTCGGTGTAGACGTGACCACGACGGCGGGTGAGGACACCGTAGATACCACCCATAGCCTGCTCGGGAACCTGGATCTCGACGTTGAAGATGGGCTCGAGGAGACCGGGGTCAGCCAGCATGGTAGCGGCGTACAGGACACGACGAGCGGTGGGGATGATCTGACCACCACCACGGTGAATGGCATCAGCGTGGAGGGTGACATCAAGGACGTTGAAGCGGACGGAACGCATGGGCTCCTCAGCAACGGGACCCTCGCGGGTGGCCCACTGGAATCCGGAGATGACGGAGTCCTTGATTTCGTTCAGGTACTGAACAGCCTTGGTCTGGTCAACCAGCAAGTTGGCACCGTTGGTGTCAGGACCGAAGCACCAAATCTTACGGGCATCGGTGACATCCCAGCCGTACTCGTCAGCAAGGACACGGGCACGAGCCTTGAAGTCGTCACGGGGGCTGATCTTGCCAGACTCGATGGCCTTGGAGACCTCCTCGTCAAGGGGCTGAGCGGTGAGGTACAGACGGTTGTGCTTGTTGGGCGACTTGGACAGGGCAGTCATGCTGGACTCAGCGGTGACGGTCTCACGGTAAGGAACGACGGGGTCGGAAATACGGAGAGGGACACCGGCGTGGTCCTCCTCGAGATCCTTGAGACAAATCTCGAGGTGCAGCTCACCGGCACCGGCAACAACGTGCTCACCGGACTCGGAGATGAAAGTCAGGACACAGGGGTCGGACTTGGAAAGACGCTTGAGACCCTCAACCAGCTTGGGCAGATCCTGGGCGTTCTTGACCTCAACGGAGCGCTGCACAACGGGGGAGACGGAGAACTTCATAACCTTCAGGTTGTGTGCGGTCTCGTCGGTGGTCAGGGTACCGGACTTGAGCAGGAACTGGTCGACACCGACCAGACCGACAATGTTACCGGCGGGGACGTCCTCAATGGGCTCAACAAAGCGACCCATCATGAGAATGGTACGCTGGATGGCCTTGATGAAGAGATCCTCCTTCTTTCCGGGAACGTAGTTGGGACCCTGGATACGGACCTTGATACCGGACTTGACGGTACCGGCGTAGACACGACCGAAGGCGTAGAAACGACCCTTATCGGAAGTGGGAACCATCTTGGAGACGTAAAGCATCAGAGGGGCAGTGGGGTCACAGTCGCGGATACCAATGCAGGCACGGTCGTCCTGGGGACCCTCGTACAGAGTCTCGGCACGGTACTTCTGGGCAGTGACGGGAGAGGGCAGGTGGATACAGATCATCTCCAGAAGGGCATCAGCGGCAGGCAGGAACTTGCGCATGATGAGCTTGAGGAGGGCCTTGCCCTCGAGGTCCTTCTCGTCGTTGGCGAGAGTAACCTCGAGCTTCTCGAGGAGGGTGAAGATCTCATCACGCTTGTTGTGGTTGACAGCGGCGAAGATCTTGAAGATGGGGTCCAGAATGAACTGGTTAAAGGCACGCTCGAGCTGCTTGCCCTCGTGCTCACCCTTGGTGGTCCACTTCTTGGTCTTGGGGTTGAAGTAGTTGTCGCCCCACAGACGCTCGAGCATCTTCTTGCGGTCAACACCGAACTTCTTGGCGTACTTGACAGCGAACTGGCGGACGGTGAAAGCCCAGCCGTGGAGACCGGAACCGAAAGCAATGGTACCCTTCTCGGCGTAGACCTGGACGTCACCGAGAGCCTTATCAAAGTAGGTGGAGATGATGACGTTGACGGACTCGATGGTACGGGAGAAGGACTGGTAGAGATCCTCCTTGGAGACCTGGAGCTCGAGAAGAGCACGGTCAACCTTGTTGATGACCAGAACGGGCTTGATACGCTCGGTCAGGGCCTGACGGAGGACAGTCTCGGTCTGGACACAGACACCGGAGACACAGTCGACGACGACCAGGGCACCGTCAGTGACACGGAGAGCGGCAGTGACCTCAGACGAGAAATCAACGTGACCGGGGGAATCGATCAAGTTGATCAGGAACTCGTTACCATCAACAGCCTGGGGAATCTCCTTGATATCCTCCTCATCGGCGAACTTGGCGTAGAGGGAGATGGCGGTGGACTTGATGGTAATGCAACGGTCCTGCTCGTCGGGACGGGTGTCCATGAAACGGGCCTCACCAGCCTTGGCAGCGGAGATAATACCGGCACGCTGGACCAGGGAGTCGGAGAGGGTGGACTTTCCGTGATCGACTACGCACATAGATGTCAGCATCAATCAAATTTTGAGATTATCGACAGGAGCTTACCGTGAGCAATGACGGACATGTTCCGGATGTTAGCCCGGCGGTCCATCAGAGACCGGATCTGTTGCCATGTTAGTCTTCTGAAGGTTGGGGGGAAAATTCAAGTACCACCCCAGATGGCGAGACTAGATGTCTGGGGGGGACATCCCAATCTGCCATCCATAGATGATGGTATTTAAGCACGAACCTCTTCGATAGTGAAGCTGTGAGACAGAATGTTAGCAACATACTCTTGGAAGCTGTGTTGAGGATCCGAGGATCTCGATATGAACTTACTTAACCATGATGGCGGTTGATCTTCAAAAAAAAAAAACTTGGACAAGTAGAAAAGAAGAAGAGCACACAGATGACCGGGACCGAGAGCTCTCGATCAGATCAAAAAGTTCTATGTGCAACTGCTCCTTGGGAGAGGGATGGAGAGGGGAAAGAGAAGAGGAGGGGGAGGAAAAGTGGGAGAGAAAAAAAAGAAAGCGAAAGTGGGGACTTTTTGCCGGTTTTGTGCGTTTTGGTCACTGACTTTTATCTCTCACTATATGATTGACTGCAACACGACTAGCTCTGTGCATCTGACTAGCTCTGTATATTCTATTTTGACATTGCTCTTGATTTCAAATCCTTATTCGGTGTGATGCTTATGACCTTGACTCACTGTATGTTGCCTTCCGTGATACTCCGGTGACGCATATTATCAATGCAAGCTCTACTATTGTGACATGATAGCTATAAATACGAAGTACCCGGGGATCCATGGCTCTCTCAATACTCAATTCACCAATGATTCACAACATGCCTGCCACCTGCACAAACCTTCTGACTGACTCGAACTGTTACCCAAAACCCCTCCTGGGTGGCGGTGGAGGGGTAACTGCTTAGTCATGTCGGGTACTGAAACTGCATTATTAATCAAGTTATTGCCTGGGAATTCAGGCATAACGCAAACAATACAAACATCTCACAACAGGAGATTTGTGACCTCAGGCGCATGTTGAATTTAACCTACGATACATGTATAGGATACAGGTCGTGAGAATCCTCAGTCCTAGGCTTAGAACGCCCCCAACCGCGTTCGGACCCCTCATCACTCCTTGGTAAGGGGTTTTTGTTTAAGGGCGGTTGGTTGACTACCTGCCTCTCCGAGCGTACGCACTAGAGGTATAACCTGGAGGCATCTCCACAAACAAAAGCCGTATGAAGCGAAAATCGCCTGGTCGACCTGCCCGAATAAGTAAGTATAGACTAGCGAGGCGGAGCCGCTCCGCTGTCTGAGCTTCAGCCTCATATCCTGGCACCCTGTTAAACCAAGGTTGTGAATGGCGTGAAGTAAAGCGTCGAAGATATATCCCTCTTTCTTTTTTATTTTCCTGGACATCATGTCTTCGTACTCTTCGTACTTCAATCACAGATTTTTATATGCACCACAATTCGACCCAGAAAACGATATGACTGAGATTGAGGTAAGTACCTCGCAAACGCACCACTGCTTGACCTTCCCAAGAATGGATATGATCTATACCGCTACCTTTCTGGATATATTATGCATCTACTCTGCCTCTTGGGTCCTAGTAGACGTAACTCCCTACTGCAAAGAGGTAAACCGTCAAGTCTCGTATTCAAGAAGTCCACTCCTACATTGAATTTGCTTCTGGCACTTGGGGAACATGACTCGTGAATGAAAACAATTGATTACAACGCGTTCTCTATTTCCGATAAGGCTCCGAGTTTGGCGAGGTAAGATTCTGGGATTCGACTATAAAGGTGGTGATTTCGCTCCAGCAAGTCTTCATCATTCTGAACAAACCACCACGTCTATTCACCAAGGATTCAGATTTCAACGATCAACCGTCGAATCCACCATGCAGGTTTCCAGCCTTATGTGCGCTCTTGTGGCCGTTGGTGCCAGCCTTGGTCTCGCTACTCCTCTCAATGACAATAGCGCTGCCACTCAATCTTGCCCAAGCGATACTCATACTGCGGTGTATGTTAAGCCTCTGAAAGATGTCTTCATCGCGCCACCTCCCCTCCACCCCACCCCCCAACAACAAAAAGCCTTTCTTAAACGTATGGCCCGTAGGAATGCAACGGTGCCTTCTGCAAGATTGTCGGATCAAACCTGTAAGTCTCTTCCTTTGATGTTGTTAGTGATGTATTTTTGCTAACTGCGTTTTGCAGGGATTGCGACGAAGGAAACGTAAGCACACCCGTTCATTCACTAGTTCCATGGAGAAGCGTCATGTACAAATTGCATGAGAACTTAAACAGCTCTATTAGTGTGCAGGTCCAATCTATTGTGTATGTCCCAATGGTGGCGACGGCACCATCTATTGCTCTGCTTAAGGGAGTCACTTTCAGGTTTCCAAAGCCTGATTCTGCGACAAGATTACTAACTTTCTCGACATATGAGAACATACATTCCTTTAAATGATCCCAATGTGCTTGGGCTCAACAACATTACGGTATCTATGTAGCTATACGTACTTGATATAGGGCGGTGGTGAAGCTTTTACTTAAAAATAGAAATGTGGATGTGGGTATGGGGACAATTTGGTTCAAACTCCGTTATTATATGCCGTAGTAGGCGGCTATAAGATAGTGGTATAGCTTTTAGGTAGGAATGGAACTACGGTCGATTAAATTAAAGGGTGAAGAATAATGTAACTGGTTTCGATCTATCCTATACATTTCATCTATATATATCGTCCTATTTATCATAGGCAAGATAAAGTATAATAATATGTATATTGTGACGGTAATAGTCAAAGTCTAACTAGTTAGAGCAAGTCGCGAAGAACCTTACGGTGCGAAAAGAACGAAGATAGATATATTCAAAAAGCCTATCTTACTAGCTTTATAGCATCCGCTAGATCAAAATGTGGGTTAGCCGTATATTTAGTAATATGCTTCTAAGAATAGGCCTATGCTTTCACAATATTATGAATTCGCGGATATGGTGGTATCGGTATTGGGGGCTTAAAAATAGCTTGATTGGGAAAGAAAACATAACGCACACCGTTGCTACTATTGTAGCAGCTATGAACTAGCCAAAGTCGGTAAACCCCGGCCGGTCGGATTGTAGTATCTATAGAAGTAGTAGAAAGCTAGGGGGATTAGCCTTGAGATCAAAAATTTGGTTATAGTAAGAGAATGTCGATAACTTATTGATAAAAGACAAATGTAGAACTTAGGCGTAATACACAAGCTAGGAGTTTATTCTTATGTCGCTTATCATAGTGGTTAAGAGTGAGATCCATCGCGTAATAAATTTGCAGTGTATATTGTCAAATTTTGAATGCTTTCTAAGGTCGTCTTTCCTCTATTTGTTTGTGGTGAGATGGTTACTAGGGGAGCTTTAAATAATAGGAAAGTAGCTTAAATATGCATTGAAATGGGGATGGCACGATGGCAGTCTGACATAACAGACAGGTCGATATCAATGGAGACAGCACAACCAACCACTCCCATGTCCAGTATAGACGTAGAGAGCAGTCACTGTAAGTGGCTATCGCACTAAAAATGAAGCTATATCATGAAAGACGAATCTGGTGGAAAAACTGTAGTCATATTGATGATGGTCGGATGATGCTGCTCTCTGAGAAAAGACTGCATGCAAGCTTCCTAAGGCAATTGTGATACCTCAGGCCACTAATACGCTACTGTCATGGGTTACACCACTACAATATATAGATATAGAGTGAAAATTGTGGAAGTCGGGCTATAAGATAATAAGTTTTCGTTCGTTTAAAAACTTATTCTAGTCATTGGTAAAGCCAACTTCTAACGGGAGCGTAAGGACGTGACCATTTATAGAAGTGATAAAGACAAATAATCGCCACAAATAATAAGTATAACCCACTCGCCTAGTCTAAGATCTCACATAGATAGGTCGCACTTAGAACTTCACGCCTCGAAACGTTCTTAGATCTAAGAACATTCAAGGTTTAGCAACTACAATTTCGATTTCAGTCACCAGCCTATTTAGTAGCTCGAATTAAGATGTTTTAGACTATATAACTTTGATCGCTCTCAATCTAACCGCTCTCGGCCTAAAGTGCCGCCCTTAGCTAGTTGACTACTCTTAGTTAGAAAAAAGCGACGTCGCTAAAAAGAGTCGCAAAACCTCAAACTTCGTATGTGGCCTTTGTATAACATTTAGTTAAGCTAGTAAAACCAAGGAAAGCTATTGCTGACCGCTAGTTAAATGATGCCTACTCTTAAATTGGGTGTCTATGTTCTAAGCATGGCTAGATTCCATGGTGGCACCGCTTACCACCGAATATTAACCACCCTGTCTTAACCACCGTGTCTTGACCATCGTCTCTTAGCTATCCATAGCTAAGTGCCAATAGTTAATTCCAATTGTTAACCGTCGCACAATGTCTAAACTGCTCCATCGTCATGATGTTCCTAGACAATATATACACGGACTGATGCGGCATCCGATTCAACAGCTACTTCGCTCTTGGTGCTTAGTTCTCAGCTTAAAAAGCCCGGCTTTCCCCATGTCATTTTGCTCCAATAAGTACACAACCAACGAACTAAATGGCTGACCCAAAGGCGCGTACCCTACGGACTTCGCAATCCTCACCATAATTAATGTCTTTAGACTTTTTTACTTTTACCTCTTTGTGATTCATTTCTTGCTACTCCGTTTCACTCACTCCCTCCCTAGAAAGAATTCTAGGCTAACTATCTATGCTAGCCTTTTACGTAGGTGTCATCTTCTAGTGCTTGTCTAGCCTCTTCTATCGGTTTCTAGACGCGTTATGGGGCAATAATATGGCCGATTGGCAAAAACTAGAGTTGAGAGCCACTTTAGTCTTGATCTAGATGACCACCATTCCTGTAGTGCTTTTACTATTCCGCACTAAGCCCTACCTATTAGCCTTTACTATCGTTTCTATCGGGATTCTAGTGGATTTTATGGTCTATGATCCTAGTATTTACGGATTTTGTCCCTAGGAAAGATTGGCTTGGTAAGAAGCCCACAGGTCCTCAATCTCGCGTTTAGAGCGACCATAGGAAAGTACCGTGGCAAACAATCCAGGTGGGCGTACTCCGCCATTTTACTACTTTGGATTAGCCGCTGAGCACAGCCACATGGAGTCCGTCTGCACGGATGGCGAAAAAGAGTGAATAGGATTGCTGAAATGGGCCTAGAAGATGGTAGACAACCTACCTCGGTCTCCATGTAAAAGCTCCAAGCTCAAGTCCATGCAAACCCCCTTGTGCAGAACCACAGGATATGCCAATTGTTACCATGAAGTCTCCAAAATAATGATGTCTCGTTGTCTTCTCGGATAACCACCAATACCCAGATGGAGACTGCTTTGAAATGATCTTATGTGGCATCCAGCCGAAGCTTGTGCCTGACATCCTGCATCATTTCCATCTCGCTGAAATAGGGCTAGGCGACTAAATTGTCGCCATTAATATCCTCAGAACCTCTTTAATTATATGGACACAATAAAACACTGCATTCTGTGCTGCCACATTGCCGGACTCTCTGCAGGAATATTGCCAGCGCAGCGTGTCGAAATCCAACCACTTGTGATGGATGTTCAATGTATCGCGATTTGAATCGAAAGAAAAAAATGCCAAATGCCTGGACAGCGCACACACAGCAACATACTCAATGGAGAGGACCGGTATGGGATATTTCATCGAACAGATGACCAATCTTAGATCACTTTCGTCCAATTGATCGAACTTGGATCACTTCCTTCAATGCGAGAAGGTCGAGATTAATCCGAATTTCCTGTCATTTCTCCCGAAGAATCGCCAAAACTGCTTGAGCCCAGCTGCACCTAGGCATTTGTGGCAGACACAGACCTGTTTAGACCAACATGAATGGTCTTATGCTTTCCTTTATCTTAGAAGGAATTCTCAATCGGTAAATCCTCCTGAGGTCTTCCATCGTTCACGGACCCTCAATACTAGTTCACCGCATGTCCACCGCAGATCCACCGCATTACAGTACTACTGTGTAAGAGAGTATTGGGCCCATTGGCCTGGTTGTCTATGTTACTAGTTCACACTGTTCTGGAACGTGGCACAATTGAGTGTTTGGGACAACTCTCCACTCACATTCCGATTGCGAGACAAGAACATGCAAGTTTAAAGTTTCCATCAAATGATTGTCAGTGGAACTGCCTCACTTGAGCTTTGGTTATCGTTGTAAAGCTAGGGGGAGCACAGGAGGGATGGGTAGTCTCTGAGCGAGTATACTGAGCTGATCGTCGGTAGAAGATCAGCAAGGGCAGCATGGACGTGCACGTTGGGTTGTATTCTGACTATGGCTGAACCTTTCGGGGCTGGTGGGGGGAGAAACCCAAGAGGCATGATCCCCACCCTTGCACTTCGAGCTGCATGAGGATGTTGAGGGTTTAATACATAGACAGATGGAGCGGGTCTTGCCCACATGTCCTGCATTCTGGGATCAGGGTTCATGTGCAACGTAGCTGACGTGGTGAATGAGTAAACAAAAGCAAACGTAAGAAAAGGAAATTAATAATTAATAGTACTGTTGATGGTAAGACTTGGTATCATTCTACGTCACCTCGTAAAATACCTTTCGTTACAAACATAGTGTACAGTAATTTCAATACCACAGCCATCGAGTACAAATAGGGCCTCACAAGCCACTATTGAACCCAACCATTCCACTATCTCTTTTCCACACGTTACTACAAGTGTTGCAACCCAAACAACATGCCATCTGGAAAACTTGTCAGCATCGCTGCTCTAGATCTCCAAGGGACGAAGGGGCCGGTCCAATGGCAACGCCATCCTACGAAGGATCAGAGATTCTTTGACTATGCCAACGAAAAGTTCGATGCGAACAACCCGGAGATTTTCAAGAAATGGGCATTACTGGACGTGGTGACAAACTATGCCGAGAAACATGACGAACCAGCCAAGCACCATACGGTTTTGAACTCCCTCTGCCTCCGCGGCCATGCGATGGAATTGACCAAACCGATGGAGCCGGAAGTCTATCAGCGCTACCGCAACCTGACCGCGATGGTGGGGCCCAGTCTCCATAACATTCAAAGTATGCAGCGCATCGAGGGCTCGTGCGATTACGACGCAGCTGCCAGATACGTCAGGAATCCTACGGACGTTGTGTCGAGACTGGTGCCTGTCATCCATCCAGAAATATGCAAAGACGACGATTATCGGCGTGACGATGGCGTGGACTCTCCAGAGTGTGACCACAACAGGAACTTTACCGCGCCGGATGACTTTCTCTATGTGGACCTGACTTATCCTCTGCGGGGCATCTACCTTCCCCTCGAAGCGGCGATGAATGGCAACCCTTGCATGTATGCCCACTTCGATTTCACTCAGGAAGACTATGAATTGGAGCAGTACACCTACAACCCCGATTTGTCTCAGGGAGAAGTCGTCGATCCCGAGCCCGGCATTTCCCAGGATGAAAAGGACCGACAGGTCAAAGACGCAAGGGAAAGGAAGGCTGCCGATCCCCCGCTAGAACCCCGGATTACCTCTTGGAGCAAAAGCCCCCAGGACAAAAAGCTGAACAGGGACGCCTATGTGGGATGGGGCGTCCTCCCCGGATGGACGGCCCGGTTTAAGGTGGAAGCGCTGAAAGAGCTAGCGAAGAAGCCTAGCTCGGAGCAGGATCCCAAAGAATACATCAAGCTATTTGACAGCAAAGGGGTCCTCATTCGATGGGGTGGTAAAATGGATATCCGAATGGGAAGAGTGTATAATGACCCCGTCCACACCATGAATGACGAAGAAGTCGTGAGACTCCTCCCCGGCGTTGTGAAGCCTGTTAGTCCGGTTGCTACTCTACCTATCGGTGTGGGCACTGCTGGGTCTGGCAATTCGGACCCTGCGCCTGTCAATCAGGGCACTGCGTCTGGCACACCGGATACCGCTGAGACGGGTACACCGGATGTCGCTGAGACTGGCACACCGGATGTCGCAATTCCGTCTAGAAAGAACAGGATGAGTAACCGAAAGGGCAGGAGCAAATACAGCTCTGCTGCTGACCAATCCTGACAGGATATCTATCCATTCCTTGGTTCTCTCTTCCGTTGAAGTTTGCTTCTTTGTTTCCTTTGAATCAATATTCTTTTTTGTGTCGATTTATAGCAATCCTAGTCGTGAACTCGTTGAGTATTGCGATATCGTACTCTTCTAAACCGACGATAGACTTTCACACCCGTCCTCACGCCCCAAATCGTAGTTCGTGCTTACGACCTTAAGTTTCTCGATGTGGTGCAAAGATTCATGGAGTTATGTTCTGAAGTAACATGATTGCCTTACATCTCGCCCTTCAAAATGATAACTCATAGAGCCACGATCTTAAGTCTCTTGATATAAATTGGGGTTACCTAGAGGCATGATCTAAAGTGTGTAGACATGATTCATGTTTTGTTCAAATGCTTACAAGACAGGTAATTTACAAGTAGTTGCAGAACAAAAAGGATGGATTAAAGCAAAAAAGCCGAAAACTCTGCAATTTATTAAAGTCTCTGACAGAGGAGTTTAATTCAAATTTCCCCCATTCATTTTCTGTCTGCGACGCCAGACCCTGCCGTTCCAAACTGAGATCAACAGATGAAATAGTCCTGCGCCAATGCTACTGAGGTTGCCGGCGGGACGTCACACACATAGTTGTCCGCTTTCACAATCTACAGAACGAGCAGATATGGTCAGAATATGCATCAAGGAAGGTTAAACGACAGAAAGGATGAGAAGAATAATGGAAGAAATGTGGATAACTACTCACAAAAGTTTCCGCATCTACGTCCATCCTTGGCGTTGTGTCATTGAATTCCATGTCCTTCTTCTTCGCAACCCGGCAGCCCTTGACGGGTTCAACACGTTTCTTGAGCTTGTATGTGTCGATTGATGTGTTGGATTTTACGACAAAAGGCTTGGGTTCATCAGGCACCGTGGGGAGTTCCTCCAGGGTTGGGGCATGGGGTGGGGCTTCGTCACGGTTATACACGCTGACGGATGCCTGGGAAACAAATGTAATGGAAGTTTCAGGTACAAGGGCCTAGGGCAAGCTTAGTTAAAAGCCAAATATTTTTCAGGACAGCGGAAGAAGACTTACTCCAAACCGGGGTCGCATTATCCTCGGCTGGATCGTCGGAATCGAGCCATTGGGGTCACCCTATCAAAAGCGAAAGATTTCAGATTAGAGGATCCCGGACGGGGACAAAGGCACAGTTGGGGGAGGAGAGACATACACCTAAAGCAACTGCTATCATGCCGCCCTTCAACACGATATCAGGCTTGGTGCCGAAGTTGCTCGGTTGCCAAATCACCAGATCGGCAAACTTGTTTTTTTCGACGCTTCCGATGAGATGCGACATACCGTGGGCGATGGCCGGGTTGATGGTGTACTTGCTGATATACCTCTTGACGCGGAAGTTGTTGATAGTAGGAGCATCATTCGCGAGGCCCTTCTGGTGTTCCTGATCATGGCATCCTTTATTTGCTAGGTCATCGCGGAATTGATTAATGCTGTTGTATGATCCGTCCTTACTACCCTTGCGCTTAGCGGCTTCGGGGGGTGGAATATCAAGAACGGCCATCTTATGGGCGCTGGTCCAGGTTCGGAGGACCACCTCGCCGACACGACCCATGGCCTGGGTGTCCGACGACATGATGCTGATGGAGCCGTTATCGAGAAGGTAGTCTTCGGCAGCAATTGTTTCCGCACGAATGCGGCTCTCGGCAAAGGCGACATCAGCCGGAATATCTTTGGAGAGGTGATGCGCAACCATTACCATGTCCACATGCTCGTCCACCGTGTTGAACGTGTACGGGCGGGTAGGGTTTGTGCTCGCCGGAAGGATGTTTTGCGTCTTCACGACTGCAATAATATCGGGAGCATGCCCGCCGCCGGCGCCTTCGGTGTGATACGAATGGATGGTACGCTCCGGGCCAATACTGTTGATCGTGTCATCCACATAGCCACCTTCATTCATCGTATCGGTATGCAGGGTGGATTGGACATCGTAATCTTCGCACACTTTGAGACACGTGTCGATAGCCTTATGGGTGGCGCCCCAGTCTTCGTGCAGCTTCAAGCCGATCGCACCTGCCTCGACTTGCTCAATCAGACCCTCTGGATCACTGTTGTTGCCCTTGCCAGTGATACCAACGTTGATGGGCAGATGATCAAACGCCTGGAGCATGCGTTTGATATGCTCGGGGCCTGGCGCGACAGTAGTAGCATTCGAGGCCGTCGAGGGGCCCGTGCCACCGCCGACCAACGTCGTCAATCCGTTGCAGAGTGCTTCGGGAACCTGGGCCGGGTCCAGAGTGTGGACGTGTGTGTCAAGCCCACCGGCTGTGACAATTTTGTTTTCAGCCCCGATCACGTCGGTATTGGCACCAATGATGATGTCCACATCATCCATGATGTCTGGATTTCCGGCACGTCCAATGGCTGTTATATAACCACCCTTGATCCCGATGTCCGCCTTTATGATGCCAGTATAATCGATGATCAACGCGTTGGTGATCACCGTGTCGACACACTTATCATAATGGGGCGGATCGGAAGTTTCATTCCGGTTTGGATCATGATGCTCTTTGGAGGAGCCATATGAGGTCTGGGCCATGCCGTCTCGAACGGACTTGCCGCCACCAAAGTTGCACTCATCACCGTAGTATGTGCGGGATTTCGGGCATTTCCGATTACCTCGACGGCTTCGTTGGCATTCCTCTTGACCATTTGGACAGTCTTCAGCGCAATGATCGGTTAAGTCTCGATAATCCTTCTCTACCATGACGTAGAGATCGGTCGATCCTAGCCGTACAACATCGCCTTTGGTGGGTCCGAACAGTTTCACATACTCGTTGCGTTTCATACGACGTTCCGATCTAGCGTTATCCGGATTGTCTTGGACTTTATGGCGAAACTCGGGGTGAATACGCTGATGAACCTTGAAGTACTCCGCGACACCGTTACCGCCGGCAATTAGCCCCTTACCAGCAATCTTCACCAGGTCTACCTGACGGCATTGCCCCGGCTCGAATCGAATGGAACTACCGGATGGGGTATCCAGTCGGAATCCGTTGGCCTTGATTCGGTCGAACTCAAGCTCTCTGTTTGTCTCGATGAAGTGGAAATGAGATCCAACCTACCATCATTCGAGCATCAGCATCCGCGAAGAACAAGCAAGGAAATAAAGAAAGGAAGAAAGAATAACAGAATAAAAGGATACGACGTACCTGAATGGGCCTGGTCCCGTGGTTTACAACTTTCAGACGGAGTCTCTTTCTCTTTCTCTGTTCATTATTCACAATCTCTTTATCATTCAGGAGAATGTCGGTCTTATAGGGACCGGGATTATCAATAACCTCACACCAGATGTAGCCTGGCGCCTTGTTTGGTGCGTAGTCCTCAAAATTGACCTCTGGAAAAAGGTTATCAGGAGGCGGGGTGAGGTTAGCACCATACAGCGCTAGCTCAATGTTTCCGGCTTCCGTGGCGATAGGTTCGACCACAGTCACAAGATAAGTGCCTGTCGGGAATGTTCCTTCAATCTGGATCTGACGGGCAGTAAACCAGGTGGATGGCAGTACATGACGGCGGCCGAGGATCGTTCTCCCAATGGACATCAGGTCAGCCACCGCATAGTGACCGTCGCGGATAAGCTAGCGTCCGAGTAAGTAAATAAATCAAGCCGTAGCTAGGTCCAGTTTTTCTAGGAAAATATTTACCTCGTGCAAGACCGTGGAGATCAGGGCCTATTTTGATCCCTCTTTGTGAGCCAATGCGTCTCAATCAACAGCCCGAATGGGCACTGTACGTACCACAGCTTCCGCATGGTTAAGCCGCACTCCACGTGAAAGACGGCGCTGGGCCAGATTCCCAAGCGGATAGAGGATGGCGAGTCTTTCCAGCTAGAAGTAGACATTCTGGTTATTATCTTGTAGGGAAAACAGAGGAGCGAGTAATCCACGTACCTCTCTGGGAATCAGATGCATTTTGAACGTGTAGTTTTCTCAAGACCCCTGGATCCGGTGTGGAATTGAAGGGATTCTGGACAAGAAGTAAATGGACAGAGATTACTCATGCGCACTCTCTTGCTGCTCGATGCAATTCGGGCATCTTAAATACCCGTGGACCTACCCCCCGCAGCATATCCCAACCAAAATACAGTATCAGACCCAATTTTGCCTAGCATGGCAATCCTTTCAGTTGATAAGACCCATCGTATTGAATTGTACTGTATTCCAACTTTAAACAGGTGCCATGGCTCCAGTCCAGGTATGAATACGGTTTTTATGGGGCAATACACCTCGTTACGTCTCTCCTTACCTAGGAGTACGGACAGGCGCTGCAGGCGAAGACATCCATCTGCGATTCTCCACACCGCTGCTTAGACGCGCACGAGTCCTGTCAATCTGTTTATCGATCCCAAACTTTCTTTCTACGTACGGGCCCTCTCCCCGACAGAATTAGATGCGAGCTGAAGGGAAGCATGGAAATATGCACTATTACATCATCAGGGGCCCAGCCTGTGATCTCCGACACGGGATTGCTCCGTCGCTAATAGTAACACACGAGATGATTGATCAGCTGAATGGAGAACTTGCCATATTACACAATCCAATTGACGTACCAGATGTGAAATGGCGGTATGATGGACGCGATCTGTATTGAGCTGTGCCCTATCTGCATATATACCTTACTTTCCAGAAACAGGGACGTACCCGCTGATCAACCGGGCCCTCGGGACGCTAGCTAGCCCGAGCGTGGTAATCTTGTAAACCCAGTAAGTCTATCTACATCCATATCTCCTCGTAGTAGAGCTGGACGGACGACTATGAACTACAGGATTGCTAATATAGACGGGGCCCAGATGCAACTAAAGGTAGGGGAAGGGGAAATGATCCACTAGGCGATGCGAACGAGAGATCTTAAACTTCACCATGTCCGAAGTCGGTCACTGGACGCAGATTCCACGCTATATGCCCTAATATGCAAAAGAAATGAAGGTTACTGAGCGGCAAAAGATAGCTCATTAATTCCAAAATTGCATAATCCCAGCTACTGTCTCTTCTCTCTTGGGACTGTCAAAAATGTTACGACCTATGCAATAAGCCGACTATTGCTTTTTATTATATAAACCCCCTCCAAACTCTCCACCTGCATTTTGGTTCTCTCCCACCTTGCTCTCCCATAACTCAATATCCCTTCATTCTGGTATTATCAAGTCGCGTTTCAGACACATCATGACTCATTCCCACTCGCATGATAATGGTGAGGCTCATGGGCACTCGCACGAGATCATGGACGGCCCAGGGTCATATGTCACGCGAGAACAGCCTCTAACGCACGAGCGGGATTGGAACGACCGTGCTTTCACCGTTGGAATTGGCGGGTAAGCACTGGCTCTTTCTTTCTTTCCTCTCCTTGCTTTCACGAAGATGCTAACTGATGCTAGACCGGTAGGATCGGGAAAGACCGCTTTGATGCTCGCTCTTACCCAGACTATGCGAGACGAATACAATCTGGCCGCCGTCACGAATGATATCTTCACACGGTAGGCAACGCTCTTCCAATTCAATAAGTGGCTTGTTCTTTTTGCTTACACATATTCTTCTTGTTCAATGCAGTGAAGATGCGGAGTTCCTCACTAGGAACAAGGCTCTTGCGAGCAACCGGATCAAAGCCATTGAGACCGGGGGTTGTCCGCACGCCGCCATCCGCGAGGATATTAGCGCCAATCTGCTCGCCTTACAGGGACTGCATAAGCAATTCCAGACCGACATTCTTCTGATAGAGTCTGGCGGCGACAATCTAGCCGCCAACTACTCTCGAGAACTGGCTGATTTCATCGTTTACGTGATTGATGTGGCCGGCGGCGACAAAGTCCCGCGCAAGGGTGGGCCGGGCATTACGGGGTCGGACTTGTTGGTGGTGAACAAGACCGACTTGGCCGGAATTATCGGCGCCGATCTAGACGTAATGGCCCGAGATGCTGCCAAGATGCGGGAGGGCGGACCCACCGTTTTTGCTCAGGTGAAGAATGGGAAGGGGTTGGCCAACATTATAGATCTGATTTTGAGTGCGTGGAAGGCTAGTGGGGCATACAGCCTTAGTGTGAACAGGTGGAAACAGGGCGCACCCCGAGGATCTGGGAATATTGACGCCTAAGTTATTGGTAAACAGCAAATTCTTGGCTAGTTTCAAATATACTGAGTTTGCAGTCTCTAAAATTGAACAGAAAGGTAATGTTTTCATGAGTTAAAAATTCTGCTGTAAAGAAGCTCGTGGCGTCCAATCCACAAGTCCATTGCTGGGACCAGCTGTCCAGCCCGGTCGACGGGGGTGTCCCACTCCCGCTCGATTCGGCGAGAAATCATTTCCTGCAAGCGTTGACTGGCCAAGATGGACTGCGCCATATAAGGACCAATGACAGAGGAGCGCACCGCTGCGCCGAGCACGGCTTTGGCATGGTTGACCATATGCAGATAGGCCGTTTGCTGTGCCGTCAACCCCATGGCCCGAGAGACCACTGCCCACAAGGGCGCCAAGTGACCATTCGGCCCCAATCCTTCGTCTGGGTTATTGCGGCTCTTGAGCCCGGTAGAAAACCTTTCGAGAATCTTGACAGCCGTCACCGCTTCTGCATCGCTCACTGAAGTGTAGGGCACGCGGAAGGATCGTTCCCAGACCCCCAGTAGAGCTCGTCCTTGGGCGAGGCTCGCCCGCTGAGCTACAACACAAGGGGTGGATGCATCGAGATCGTTATCGATGGTTTCCAACATTTCGGGTTGTCGATGCGCTGCCAACAAGTACGGTAGTGAGGTGCTCGCCACACACGCAATCGAGAGCGCAAGGAACGAGTCAAAGGCTGCCTCTGGATTGGCTATACGTCCTTGTAGCTTGAGATGGGCAAGGTACGATTCGAGTCCATTGGAGTATGCAAACCCACCGGTGGGAAGCGCCGAGTCAGAAAGAAGGAGCAGCGCGTGGACGGGTATCGGATTGGACGGATCTTAAAAAAGTGAAGCACAGTTAGCAGAGTCGAGGAACTATCTACCAGCTCTTGGTGGTTAAGATCTATTTGTTTATTTGCTTACCTAGGAAAGGAGCCTTCCCAGTGGCCAGCGCCCGCCGAGCTCTCGCATTTTTCAGACGTTCCTCAAGATCTGCAATCTCCTCATCCAAACTCTGATCCTGTGTTTGGTTGATTGCCATTCTTCTTCTTTGTTTGGAGTCGGTTGGGATAAAGGGGGAGGAAACGTCACTAGAGACGCCCAGATCCAGCACAACGGAAGTAATAGTGTACTCGCCCCACCGATCTTTGCGCCAAGTCTTAGAAGGCGCATGGACCTTGCGACAGATCCATCGCAGTGGGGTCCCGCCGGGCCGCAGTGGGTCGAACCAGAGGTGGTTTGTTGATAGATCTCATACTGTTTTGTATGGTAAATCCGGAGCACTCAGAAGTATGGCATTGTAACACACCGCATCTCGGTGAGACTTATTCCTGTTGGACACCTCTAGCACTAGCTAGAAGTATGTTCGTAAACCCTCCATCCTGATACAATAATACATATAGACATCGGTCGTACTTCTGCAGAATGACACAGCAGGCCCACTGGTGGGTTCGTCAGTCATTCCCTGGTTTATGCAACGCATGGGTCGCGTAGGTGGCTGGGCTGAGGCCACCGGTAGTCTGCTGGCGAGCTAGAGGGCGAGTTTGGTGTAGATCGATATTTCTTTCTTTTGATAAAAAAAAAGGCAAACTTGGTTCACCTCCTCACTTGTGTTCTGCATTGTATCTGGTAATTTTACATATCTATAGAGCAACGATCTACAATGGAAGACAGACCAGGGAAGGCAGAAGATGGCATGATTACAAAGTCATGGAAGAGAGTAGAATGAGCTGCTAGGGAAGGGTCTCATAGTGTAATAAGGGTCGGCACGTGAACATGATGGTCAATATCTAGGTAACGCGAGGCCAACATCAGGGGCAGCATCATGATTGTTCATTCCTATAAGCACTGTAGCGCTTCCTCGCCAAACTCCATCTCAATGCTTCCCTCTTCCCGCAGGAGATCACCAAGCCATTGCTTGGCTCCATGTGCATGACGGGCACCAAACTTCATCAAGACAAAGTTGTCTCGTATATGCGCTGCCGTCCAAGTGATATCATCGTGCAAACAAGGCTGAGGCGTTGAGTTGATCGATGTTGTGGACCAGTCGCGAGCCCCGAGACGAGCCTGTGATTTGAATCGATCCAGGAGCCAGGTCATCAGCCGTTCGAAAACGGGTCCGTAGAGTATTAAGGTGCCCAGGACGGTGCTGGTTCCGGCCCGATCACGGATCAACTTTTTCGTGTGCGACTGCTCCTGGGTGCCCTGGTGACCTCCCTCTTCCAATTCAGCGTCCAGAATGATCGAGTCGCGAAGGAGAAGCTTCCTAGACCCTGACGCCTCATCCACCGACCACACCTCGTTTTTCCCGCGCCAGAGATGGAAATCCCAGTTTTCGCCCCTGGCCGACCGGCCTTCCGTCACCCAGTCCAGCAAACAGAGGCTGCCACGGTTGTTGCCTGTAGCCGCTGCGTCCACGGTAAAGGTCTGTACTTGTTCGTATCGACTGTCTTTAAAAGGTACGTTGGGGTCGGGCAGGGAGCAGAAAACGGCCTGGTTCCCAATGTGAACATCCAGTGTCTGTCGACTCATATCCATCAATACCTGATCCGGTAGAGCCAGCCGTGGTCGCAACTTCTGCATCGCATCGGTCCGATAGATCTTGTTGCTTCCGTGCGGCGTCGTGACTACCAGCCTTGTTTGCGGATTCAATGTGATGGAGACGTCGATTTCATCACCCGGCAGCAGACCCCCACCATAACTGATGATGTACAAATAGACTGGCGAAGATGCACATGGCAAAGCCGAGGAGACTGGGATATAACGCGACTTATGGGTCAAAAGCTTCAGCGGGTATCGGTACGTCAAGTTGGTGAATGTTGGAAGGGCCGGCGGAAGGAGCTCAACGACGACCTCGCCCTGACCGGGCTTGGAAACTGGAACGATGAATGGGGTGGCCATCGCGATAATTCTTTTGGAGGCTACTGAAGAACGCCCTTGTCCCTGAAAATAGGGAGAATTTGCGATTTGTGATGACAATGCTCCGCAGTACGGTTTTGGTAATACAGCGTTACGGAAAAGTACTAGTAACCCTTTTCGTGATATACATACACTAGCTGCATTCTGCACGGGCTCAACCGCTAGTTCCAACTCAATTTCAACTCGAAAACTTGGAAGCAAGGTTGGGGCCGTGTGCAGACTGGGCCGACCTGAGCGGGTCCGGCCGGCCCAAGCGTGCCTAGCCGATGAACACCAGGTGCTGATACTCCACAAAACATACACTATTTTCAACGCTGATAAACCTATCTCGCGAATAGCTTAAGCCTGACTATGAGGGCCACACCCAATGTTTCGATTCAATAGGGAACAAATATAGTCATTGAATTTTCAACTAACAATTGACTGGTGATACCTGGATATTATTCAATATTCTCTTTCCTCTATCGTTCTTCAGTCGCAGTGACACGAGCCGAAGCCCCTTTGTCAACGGTAGTGGCTTGCTCACGCTCAAACACCTGGCCTTCTCCTGTTTCGCATCCAGCAACAGCGGTATCCTCCTCCGACCCAAGAGCATCATCCCGGTATCGCTCTTCGTCATTCGCCATAGAGCGCCCGTGACGTCGATCCATCCATCTTCGCCACGGCTTATACAACATAACGCTCAAGCCTCCGAATATAATGAAGCAGCCACAAATCCCACCACCGATGGCATCATAGTAATCACCGGCTAGTTGTACGCCATCCCAGAACTTTCCAGTGGCATTAGTGATATTGAGGATCATGGTAAGAAGCTGAATTATACCAATCACAATAGCGACAATCACAGTCAAGACGGTAAGTACGATCGAGTAGTACAGAAATGCCACAGGGTCTCGGTGATTGTCTCTTGACTGCGGTAACTCGTCACCTTCAATGTCCGATGCGACTTCAGCAGAAACTGCACGGCCGGGTCTTGGAGGAAGGAAATTTGCTGCGGGCTGAATGTACAAGGAGAACATAAGAGCTCCATCGAGGGTGTCCAAAAGACACATTCCAGCTGGAGAGGAATGGTCAGCGTGAGCCTCAAAGGGTTCCTAATTTACATGCACTTACCGGTAAACAGTGCGGGAAGAATTAAAATAACCCAAAAGGATGTTCCCTTGGTAGCCTCGATTGATGAGATCCCGAGTAACGCAATCTCAGATGACGTGTCAAAGCCTAGTCCAAATAGGATTCCGAGAGGATACATTTTCCAAGGGCTGAGAAATAGTCAGCGGATGGAAGAAGCAGCATGACTGGGCTTGCAACACACCGGTCAATCAATTTAAACATTTTCTTGAGAATGGAAAACAGCACACCGCCACCCTCGATCTTCCAAGCTTCATCCTGCTGTCCTTCGCCCAGACTAAACACCTTTTGCATCTGTTTAATAAGTTTGAACAGAATATACGCGTTCATTAGTCCAAGCAGGATCAAAAATGCTGCGCTGACGGAACTACCGATGATGCCACCGATAGTACTGAAGCTATCGAAGCGCGAGGAAACCGCAGCAGCGGTAGCTGCGACCACGATAGATGTAATTATGACGATCCTGAGACCCAGTTAGCGCCCAGTTATCATTGGGTGTTTGTCTCAGTCACTCACGTGGAATGCCCCAAAGAAAAGAATGTTCCTACCGTGACAGGCTTTTGACCAGTTGCCAACAATCGTCGTGTCATCAAATCGATCGCCTGTTGAAGTCAGCAATCGCATTCACGAATGTATGGACCCAGATGCTACGACGGACAGAAATATGGTCCGCATCAAAAGCATGCCTCAAGCCAAGGGTATATGCAAGAGCCGCGGTGGAAACCAATGATCTAGAATATCATCAATAAGTGGATGTAATAGGCGTGCGCATAACCTTTTCGATAGGCTCTGCAAAGACGACAACGCCGATTGAACGTACGGGTGATAATGCTATCATGTTGTTAGACTGTTGTGCCCCACATCTTGTTTATGATCAACAAATGACAACGGACATACCAGTACAATCGCCGCCGCAACCCAGACAATCATATTCAGAAACGCTATCAAAGCAATAATTGCAATAGCTCGAAGAGGTACTTTTCGAATTCCGGGCATGCGACTATGGGAGCGCTTTGCATGACGCAGAAGAGGCTGCAAGCTCCATCTCTTGTCACTGTCCAGACTTTGTGTATCCAGAGGCGCTACGCCAGCAAAGGATGTCATTGTCAAATATGGCTCCCCTGTTTTGATCTGTTTCCCACAGAAATGCAGTGTTTCTCCCTGGTAGACTCTCGGCGGTCCGTATAAGACAATGAAAACTTGCAGAGAGTACAGTCAACAACAGCAACGGATGACACGACCACTTATTATATGTCGTGGTTTTGACTTGCAGATGAAATGCTTCGCTGCGGGGATTTTTACTAGCCTGCTTAGCTGTCGCCTTTAAATGTCTTGCCAAGGTCGAGCGAGAACCAAAGATCCGCTTGGTGGGGAAAGTTCATGTGAAGACAGATTGGCAGGGCTCGTGCGAAACTTTGCATTTGTGTGGAGAATCGCTTTTGGAGACCTGCCACCTGCAGAAACACCCCTTCATAATACCGGGAAAGGTGGAATGTAACGAGGTGTACCACCTGATAAAATATTGTATTTGGACCTGGATTCAAACAAAAATGAAACCATGGCACCTTTCTACCGCCATGATTTCAAAATATTCGACGCAGGGGAGGGGTTTGATATACACCGCTTGGTGAAGAACCCCATTTTCATTATGTTTGTCGATAGATGTTATCACACGGGTATCATCTTCAGCCAGTCATTCTAACACTCTGCAATACATTGCTTACCGAATGGTGATTGGTGTATATCATTTCTTCTAGACTTGTTACTTGTGGAGCAATATGCGATGTTTACGTGGCCTTTTTGGAAGCTACCTTCGCCAGTATGAGTGAACCAGAATGGCACGATCGACTAGTTGGTGCTGCAAAGCGGGGTTGTAACAATCCACTTCTTGGCCGCCTCAGAATCCAAGACTGTACGACCTAAGGTCTCTGCATAGGGTTAATCACACAATCACCGCTAATCAAGTGTGTGATAGGCTAAAATCCATTAAATTGGGCCAATGGATCGAAATATCTGTGGTTCGATACGTAGTCCTCGGCGCAGTCACCTCTCCATTTGATCCAGCATTATACGTCTGCATATGTGCCCAATTCAAACGGAAAGCAACGCTCCTGAGCGGTCTGTAATAACCCGCATAGGTACTAAGATGCAATGAACCGTATTTTCTGTTATCCACTTGGCTTTATACCCTGCAATACATTTATAATGAGCATCTGCCTCGAAGTTGTTGATTGCCTGCCAACTTATCTTTTGAAGCGCCCGAAACTTGTTATGTTAGGGCTACATCAGAAGATTTGAAGGGCGAGCGGAACTGACGACCTCGATTTTCATTATGATACACCTGTATATTTTTGTGAGCGTGCAATGGCCCTACATTATTTTTGCCTGCCTGGTTGCTTCTCGTTGTGTTCATCTTCCTGGTGGCTACTATTGTTGCGAATGGAAAAGGCTGCGTGCCTCTGTGGAAGCCATCTGCTTTGGCACCCTTCTTTCATGGACTGGACAGTCTTTAGGGTGATGATGAGTACATGACTGTTAGCATAATAGGAGGCCGATGCCTCGACAGCAAGAACCACCAAATGCTTCAGAGCTGGGAGTATGACGATCTCGACGTTGGACAATTTCAATGGTAAACAAAACCTACCAAGGAACGCAATCGATGTTACGCAACCCTACCTGTGCTATTGAGGTCTGTTATGGACCAGTTTTGCGCCCACTATAAAATAGTCTTGAAAGTACTTCCTTAGGTGTAGACATAATCAATCGCCTTCACTGGCACTTGTTATGCATGAATCATAATCTATTTGCCCTTTACCGTGTATTACAACAGCCTCAGGCGCATATCTGAATTTAACATACGGGTATCAGACGATCACCGGTGAACTGTTTGACTTTCATTGAATCTCAATACGTCAACAACCAAATGATCCCGTTTGTACTCTCACAGGTGACCTCCTAGATCTTGTTCCTCAGCCAACCTTAGTTTTCATATTTGACATCCACTGCGATGTCTTCCTCGCCGCTTGAGTAAGTGCCCTCGTGCAAAGTGTGGAACCGAGGAGCTTGCCAAAACCGATGTCCCCACTTGAACTCGCCATTCATGCCCCAGTCGACAGCCACCCCCTGCGGCTCAGGCACATTCACCAACGGACGCAACCACGACACTGCAAATGTAGAGGCGCTGTCAATGATGCGGAGTTGGATGCCGGCATTATCTGCCTCCTGTTTGAGCCACTGCAGTCCGAATACCGTTGGATCTCCTTCAATGGGAGCTTCGATTCGGAGCTCTCGAAGGGTTGGAAGGTGTTTCTGTCGGTGACGAAGAAGTGTACACAAGACAGGAATCAAGTTGCGGAGCTCAGTCTGGTTCTGTGGACTTGTGATTGACAGAAGCTCAAGTGTCCTGGGAAGACGGGCATGCAGGGGAATCTTGGGGTTTGTCCGCAGTCCCATTCTATCAAACAACTCCAGCTTAAGTCCATTGCTGAATTTACCGTACATGCTTTCTTTGTGCGGGCTCCAGATGAGATACTTTGCTGCAATATTGAGCTTAGTCAAAGCTTTCATGCATGCCAAGTTGATGGGGGAAAGGTAGAGATGTTCCAAATCGTGCCAAGCACACTTGGCAAACGAGAGCTCGAGGGATTCAATGTGTCGCATCTCGTTCGGAGCGCGGCTGTGAGATCGGAGACCAGCAGGATGTCCTTGTCTTCTTGCTCTTCGTCGTTGTCATCTTGCCCAGTTTGTCCAGGGTCTTGTCCATGGTCATCATCGTCTTCTTCTTTCACTACTTCCTCGGACCATCCACGTTGATAGATCAAGGTCTCGAGGGAATCACATCCTGCGAGAATACGGTGGAGATAAGGAGCGGTAAATGCGCAATCGCGAAATTCCAGGAGAATGAGCGACGGTGTGAGCACGGTAGGTAGATCTTTGATATCTTCGTCCTCCAGGTTGAGACCGCTCCATTTGGTGCCAAAGAAATATGTCAACGATGGTAGCTGAAGCCATCTCATAAGACGAACAGGGTCGCCTGCGGAAGTGTCACGGCATTCGATTTTTAAATGAGTCAGCCCTTCAAGGACAGGTTTTGTGTTAATCAAGACTTCTCCACCTGGAATCTCGCACAAAATATCTTGCACCAAGTCGTCAACCAAGAACTCATTGTCAAAGCCGTCATAGTTCGCGTGTCCAAGGCCGATCTCGAGCCGCTCGAGGCAAGGAAGGGATACCAGCAGCACTGACAGTATGGTATCCGAGCGTAGAGACTTGAATCGAAGAGCAGATCGCAGGTGGTATGTGTTTGTCTTGGAGATTGACAAGTTATGAATGGCATTGGAAAGCAAGCTGCGGTCTTCGGGATTGGTGTCATAAGCCCCGGGCAATTTCTGGTCTCTGCGCACAATATGTCCATTGGCCCCGCACAGGAGATTTAAGTCACTCAGATCGAGGAATCGGACTTCTTTCGCAAGCTCGGGAAACCGGAGAACTGTGGTAGTAAAGTGACGGAGCTTCTTGGGCGTCAGAATCTCAGAATACTTCAAGTCCCAGGATACCTTACAATACGATAATTTATCGCGTCTTGTTGATTTCCCAAGGGTGTCTCGCTGAGCGCCCGATCTGTGCCAATGGGCCCAGCCCCCAACCTAATATGTGACCACTGGCTTGGGCCGGTTAGGCGGGCGAGCTCCTTGTTGCAGGCACCAAGTCTGGCCAGAGTCAGGTTGTCACTGGTGAGCTTTGCGATGATCAGGATTTTTATCTCTAGGGGAAGGTTGTCAAATGCCATTTTGAAAGCTTGGGCGCATCAGATCAGGATGGCTGCAGGATGGCTGCAGGTTTGCGGCTCGCCGATCTTGTTGGTGGTGAAAGAAAGTTGTGACAAGATCAAACGACAGGCCTCGACCTTGACTTGGCGGGTAATGAAGGAAGTGAATCGGTGAAATGGAAAGGGGAATATGATGATGAGAGAGCGCGAGAGATTGAAGAGATCACTCCCTTTCCCGATCAGGTAATATCAAGGCAAAGAGTAAAACAAGACAAACAAAGTACCTCAGACTTCGAGTCAGTTCTGTCCTCTCATGTGAAGGTATAAGTTTTGACGGCTGTCTAGCGTGTATTATGCTCGAAAGACCTTCTCATGTACCACAACTTTGAGTATCATAATATCGCTTCTTATATATACAGAACAGATATTAGTGCTCACTAGAACCGTTGATCAACCACGACACCCTTCGAATAGTACAAGTCTATGACAACGCAGGCTCGAAATGCTATCAAATGCCCTAATCTCGAGATAGCCTTCTCTGGAAAGGCCATAGATGTACTGAAACGCTTCCACATGAACTTCTTCTAGCAACTAGTCGAGACATGTAGTCTTGCTAATTAATGCAATGGTTTGTATGTTGCGAGTATCCAGTCCATGATTAACTTCAGTCAACATGAATTGTGCTCTGTATATCGAATTTAGTCAGATTACCCAGAAGAGCAAACTGGGAAACGGATTAAAACACTCGTTGCTCACGAGACATTGAAGTCCAAGGCTGCCTGCAGGACGGGCTGAAGTTCTGGACGCTCCATCGCAAACGGCGCCCGTGTGCTAACGAATAGATTACACAGAGGTGAAAGGGGTAAAAGCCCCAGCTCCAATATCCCTAGGGCCGGCTGGTGCATCTTCCAAAACTGTTGGGTAATCTGTGAAATATCTTTGACAGCTATGCCTGCTCTCGGGTTAATATACACACAAACGGGATCAAAGATCAATGTATTATATGCATTACGAAAAGCCTTAGCTCTCTGGTAAGTCATTCTAATAGATTCTTCCAAAGTGAATGAGCGGATAGCGGGTTTGAACAGCAGTGATCCTGCGTGTTCATCCAAGTGAGGATTCGACTGTTGCAACAGCAAGAGCTGCTCTTGCAATGTGCTTTGCATTCTAGGCAAGAGTATGGGCTGTTTATGATACCAAAGTATAGGAAAGGGTATCCAACATGCAGTATATATGCTAATGATATGATTTATGTCTTTAGAGAATCAATTCATAGGCTATTTATTGTAAGCTGAAATTTACCGACTATTTCACGGCAACTACCCGACATAGGACTTTGACCGTGATCCCACGCCATGTGTTGTTACCTGCAGAAATTTGCAGGTAGCTGACAACCTTGGAAAGATCAGAAGATCATCAGATCAGCGGCCTCGCATCAACCATACCACGTCTACAATCTATATGTCCTGCGTCTATGCCACTGGTAATTACTATAGAATGCGTAGAATGCCCGGAAACCAAAGCTGAACGTTTAACCGGACAAAAGAGCTAGAGCCAGTTTCATAGGAGATCGTGCCTAGCAATGCGGTTTGGCAATCGATAAACTTCAGGGCTGTTCACCCGACCTCCCTAGTCAGTGTCAGTGTCCCCACCAGTAATATATACCTTCTATACAATACTTTCCTGCATACGATATGGAGTATGAACGTACTTTAATGTGATGGGACAAAGGAGCCAGTTCGCTCATCTTGATAAGCAAGTCACCTGAAATCCCACATTTGTGAAGGAACCTAATAGATTGCTTCAGTTGGCAAACCCCATATTTGCCATAGGCATGATTCTGTTAATAAATGCTCCCATTCTTCTCCCCGAGTGGTTCAGCTGAGCCATTGCTGACCAGCAGTTCCAGAAGCATGGTTTCAGGAACACTGCGAATGCCTTCGAAACAAACAGAACTTGGAGCTTGGACGTGGATAGCCTCAAGAAAAAGGACATATAAAAAAATGGGTCCTAGCCCTCTTTGTGTCATTGGTGGACGGACCATACCAATTACCTGCTGAAATGCTATGCCTACCACATCTGGAAGAATGCTTTCACACGGGACTAACGTGCTATACATCGATCGCTACAATATGAATAAAGTATTGATCACCTTCCACGGCTCGAACGACGGTAGGTACTCATTTCAGCCGCATGATGCATACCCTTCATGAGACGTCTCCTCGGGTGCATCACGACTTATACCGCTGGGCCAAACGGGGCGAGAGTTATTACTCTATTCGTTAACTTTGATGATATGGGCAGTTTTTTGCTTTTCATTCCCCTCACTCAGTCTCAGCAAGATCCCTGATGCTCAATATCATTCACACCCCCATCTGGAAGCTAAATGCCTGTTTGGTGAGGGCATTTTCCTACCATGGTGTTTGGCCATGCCTGGGCTGGCTGAAATTATTTGGGATCTACATGTACTCACCAATGGCAACGTACTCCGGCAAGGGTACATGTAGGCTTATATTGAATGATACTGATCTTGTCAGTCGGATAAGAGGGCCAATAACTGATTACATGGACCGGATTTCTTTTCTGTAGTAATTGCGACCACTGCACCGCGGGCTCACTCAGGCCCGGAAAGAAAGTCAGTTATGCCTCACCTGAGCCATGGATTGACTTAATGAGAGTCACAGTGAAATAACGTATTACGCCGCGGCGAACACAGTAGACGAAGATGAGAGTTGGATCTCAGATACAGTCACGGGGTCCGTGCGAGGGCGGTGAACTTCCCGATCGGCGATAAGAGAAACGATACCGATAATGCCTATCGGCACGTGAGCACCGTAACTCCACATCTTGAGAAGCTCCGAATGTCACTACAGGTATAACCTCAACCATCCAGCTTCATGAGTCAAAAGCCCCCGGGCTGGAGATTTGATTAGTCGTGCGTTTTTGTGAGTACATATTCCACGGTATGGTTCCTTCCCTCTCGGCGATGGCCACCCCTCAAGTCAATTCAATCTCGTCCCCTCGCCGTCGCCTGTTGTTTATGATTTGCGCTACCCGCACTCAATCGCTTCATTCGAACGTCAACTCCATAAATAGCAATGGCTGACGAGTATCGCAGTGTCCTCGAAGTGCTCGAGGATCTCGGGGTCCCTCCCAGTGACCACGAGTTCCTCCGCCGGCTTTACTCGTCGGAAGATCCGTTCCCGGGTCCGTCCAACGCTGAACTCGATCCCACCGCTGGCAACAGGGGTCCTGCACGGCTTAGTGCTGCTAACCTCGCCAACACACTTGCGTCACTTCGTATCAGGCAAGCCATTCCCCGTGCGCTGGTCGCGGTCCTTGACTAACATCTGTCTTGCAGTGAGCCCGCTTGTGTGCAACGCCCCCCAAGCACCCCACAAGAGCAAAGAGATCCAGTTCATTACGGGGACGAGTGGGTCTCCCTGATCTCTCATGAATCAAACTCGTTGATTTCTGAATTACGCGGACAACTTGAATCACCGGAGGACATCCGACGCCCAGGATTCGCCGAACCACCCGGGTCATCCGTCTATGACAGCGACCGAGGTGAGCCCAGTAACTTCCATAGTGATCCCCCTACCCCTGGACCCTCAGGATACCAACAGGCATCCCTGCCAAGGACCCCGGCCAGAAACAACGACGTTGAGGATCTGATTTCATCTTTCCCACGTCCTCCTGTTTTCAATTCCCCGAAGGGAAAGCAAGCCCTCTCTGCCATTGCGCCCGGAGAGCAACAAGGAATTGTTGAAACCAGTACAAAGGCTAACCTTTTCACGCCTGACACTAGTCGACGCGTCAGCACTCCGACCATATTCGCTGATTCATCCACCGTGTTTCACACTGATATCATTGATACCGGAGATCAAAGTCGCTCGGTCCCTCAGCGCCAAAAGAAGCAATCTGCGTTTGCGCGCCTTAGTCAGACCAAACGTCACCGTCGAACCAATCCTCGCCGTCTTCGGGCCGATCCTTCGAGAATTCACGGCAGTTTTAGCTTCGATACTCTAGTCATCCTGGCTCCGACTCCTTCGCCATCTCCCCCTAGTACTCCAACTCGTACACCCCTTCTCAACGTTTCGCCCCCAATTTCTCGCACATCTCCCGTTGACTTCATCGAGCAAGATCCTCGCAGCACTCGTCACGGAGGATACAAGGTGTCACTCGACCATCCCAAGCCCATCTATCCTTCGTACGGAAGCCGTGACTGCAGAGCCTCATACGGGCTATTCCCGCAACCCTATCATTCCCCGCGCGCGTCTTTCAACTCGACCATCCACAGGGTACCTCGCGTTCACCCATACTGTGAGGCGACGGATCCTCGCTTTTACCGCAAGACCCCTTTCCCTTCGCCTCTTGCTAAATCCTCCCGCTCCTTGGACAAACACGCAGCAAGACACACAGGGGCTTTCAAACGCTGCCTCTCCCGAGTTTGCACACGCATCTCATCCTTGTGTGACCGTTAGGTCCACCTTACGAGGTGCACCCTGAAGACAACATCATTTCTGTCTTCGTGACAATTTTCCATATCCTTACGCGGCATCTTATCCACTCACTGTTGTAACATCTCCATTCCGGTTATTTGCACGCAAGAAAATAACCAAAACCCAAAAAAAACCCCCCCAAAAAAGCACCCCAACTTCCACCTCTATTTCCGATTATTCACTGTCATTCATCATGGACCCTCGTGGGTCACGGTTCTTGGACCCATCCTCTGCGATGGCGGCCATAACCAAGCACAAAGTTGAGGCAATCAAGCTTGCTCGAGAACAAGGAATTGCTGTCCAAGAGATGTGTCGACGTGCGAAAACTGATATTCCACCGTACGAGTTTGAAGAATTGATAGGCAAAGGTGCCTATGGTCGAGTCTACAAAGGTCATGAAACAAAATCGGGTCGACTGGTTGCTATCAAGGTTCTAGATATTGATTCTCTCGACTACAAGTCTTTACGAGATTTCAGGGATGAGTCGATTAAGGACTTCATTCACGAAACAAAGGTTATGAAGCAAGTCAAGGACGCAGGGGCAAAGAACATTAATGAGCTCATCGAAGCCATTTCTATACATTCACAATTGTGGCTTGTTTGCGAGTACTGTCCGGGTGGTAGTGTTCGTACGCTGGTAATTGAATTCCTATTTTTACCCTTTCAGAGCTTTATTGACCAGTCGTAGATGCGTGCAACCGACGACAAACTTGATGAAAAATACATTATCCCCATTGCGCGCGAGTTGGCCGTCGGTCTCCGCGCCATTCATGAGGCTGGAATCATCCATCGTGATGTCAAAGGTAAGCATCTCGACTCGCAGATGGTAAGAATTCCTGCTGACTTTAGTTTCCACAGCTGCAAACATCCTAATCCATGAAGAGGGCCGGCTGGAGATCTGTGACTTCGGTGTCGCCGGTGTTCTTCAATCACAACGAGACAAAAGATCTACTTGGATTGGAACACCACACTGGATGCCACCAGAAATGTTCTCAACTCGGGGCGAGGCTCATCGTTACGGAAGCGAGGTAAGACATTCTTATGAGATTCTATACGCCCAGTCACTGACATTGGCTTTGCAAGATCGATGTGTGGGCATATGGGTGCACGCTATTTGAATTCGCAAACGGCAATCCACCGAACTCGGGCCTGCGAGAGCGTATGCAAATCGGCCGCCAACTCAATCGAAACACACCCAAACTCGATAGCGATAGGTACAGCCAAGGCTTGAAGGATCTCATCGCTTTCGCTCTTGATTCCAACCCCGCCACCCGCCCCACGATGGCAGACATTCTAACTCACCCTTACATTGCCGACACTGATGAGGAGTATCCCACCTCAACTGTCAGCGAGCTGGTGCGAAACTACTACCAATGGTCTCAGCGAGGAGGCCAGCGTATTTCCTTGTTCCACCCAGGCGGTGCGGCGGCAGCAGAACTCCCTGGTGCCGAAGAGTCGGATGACGATTGGAACTTCAGTACAACAGATGGGTTCGAGCGAAGGTTTTCTGTGATTGATCTGGATCAAATCGCTGCCTCTTTGGCTGCAATGGAACAATCAGTCAGCCCGACCGAGACAGCCTCTGAGCAAGACTTTATTGATGAAGGCTCCGAGGGCGAAATGAATTATGAAGACAAGGTCAATTTCGATGAACGTGTGCGCCGAGGCGCCGAAGCAATGCAAGGACTTTTCGACGAGGAAAAGCCCAGTTACGTTTACGAAACAAAAAATGACTTTGTCCCCATTGAGCCCACCCCGTCCATCTCAGATCTGCCTCTCCGCACAGATACAGATCGCTCTTCTGTCACATCAACATTTATTGACATTGATATCGGCTCGTTCGAGGCATCCCATTATGCGGCGGGGGCGCCTGCTGCCCAACCTTTTCAACTGGTCGATGCAGACACTATTCGCGCGAATCGTTCCAGCATTCGCTTGAACAGAAATTCCAATGAGAACAGCTCGAAGTCTTCCGAAAGCGGCGTTGAAAGCGATGGATCTGCATCTATTGATGATACATTCCAGCCGTCCGGTCCACGACCACCGACTATGGACTGGAAATTCCCGGTATTTATGCAAACTGACGAGGAAAATCCAGCCGACAGCGAAGAAACTCATGATCAAGACCCTACCCCGGCTCCTGGGCAGGAGCCAATTGAGGAAGAGTCCCTCCAGGCCGAAAAGCGTGCTACTATGGAATGGACATTCCCAGTCATGGGATCCGTCCCCGAGGAACAGACCTACACTGATCGCCACGATACTCTTCGTGCACCTCTTCCTGGGATTCAGCCTATTCCGGAATCACAATCAATAGACGAGCCTGATGATTCCCGTCCTTCTACGTCTGCCTCCAACGCGTCTGATTCGGACTACGATCCTTTCCGTTTCGACCGCCCAACAACCCCGCCGGGCACAAACTCCCTTCATCATAGCCACTTCTTCGACCGCGAGCTCCCTGCAATGATGAGCTCAGCTGGCTTTAATGAGTACGAGTCTTCAGGGATTCTCGACGGCCCGGGGCCCGACGAAGAATCCCAGCCTGTGTGGCGAGACTCAATCGACGGTAGCACACCACCTCTACCAACAGCCATCCCAATCCCCGAAACCCCCACTGCGTCCTCTGTGATTTCTGGCCCAGTCTCGGAGCCCGGCTCTCCGGTCTTCGAAACGATTCGCAGTGTGCGACGAGCACAGGATCCAGAAGTCACGACCTCAAGACCTGAGGAAGTCGAAACCATCCCCTTCCCATCACTCGTGGCACCCAGCGCTGAGAGCTTGATGGAGGGTGCTGATGATGCCGCTGTGGCATTTGAGCTTGATCGGTTGCTGGGCGACTTCCTTGGGTCTCTCTCGGCCACCAGCAAGGCTCTCTCTAGAATCGCTGTCGCCGGAACCAATGGCTACGAGGCTGAGAAAGTCTAGAGGACCAGTGGGGTGAATAAAGTATTTTTAAGGGCTGGGCCTCTTACTTTGGGGTCGCCCTCGTATGTTGTTATGATCACTTTGTTTTGAGTAATCTTTAGCGGTATCAATATCAAACTTTCCTTTCAAACGACTAATGCCTCGGCTTTCCTCTCTTAGATCTGCTTATAGGCATCATGATCACTGGCGGTGTAGGCAACGATGTACTGACTGTTGGTTGTAGATCAACACTACAACGTCAAAGTACATCTCGCTAGGGCACGGGCTAATTAGTATACCTTCTCGTAGTATACCCTCCTGTACGTCCACAACATGTACTTCCTAACATAGGCACTCACTGCTTCTCGTGAAGTCACTATGCGCGCTTGTATGGCGTTGCCTGTGAATCAAGGCGATCAGGTTCTACCCACCTTGATAGTCCTTCACTGTTTTCTTTTCTCTTCTTCTTTTTCCCCCTCTCCCTTCCCTATCTCGCCTTTTTCTTCTTCCCTTTCTTGCTTTGTTTTCCCTTTACTTCTTTTGATCTGGTCCAGTATGGCATTCCGTTTGCCATCAGACCTTTCTGCACCTGATGCTTTGGTCTGGAGCGCATTTCCAGCTCCAACTACCTACGACGAGTGGCGGGCAGCTGTCTCGGAGGTAAAATCACTGAACCACTCTCAACAGTACAAACAGTGCGTGTCACGTTGCACACAGCTCATTGACACTGCTACTGGTCCAGTTCGTGTTCACATCTCATCAATCCGACACACAACTAACGGATTCCTACCTAGATCGAACCGATTCACAAAACTTCTCTCTACTATTACGCCGCGGTGTCATATGTTTCAATGTCTCAGGCAGCTCACGTCTACTCGGCAGCCAAGATCCCACTTCTGAACCTCGCTTTGGAGAATTTCATGGCTGCGAGCGAAACTTGGCAAGAGAATCTGATTCCTCCAGTTCTGAACCCAGATCAGACCTACTCCCCCGTTGAGTGGCCAGAATCTGCTACTCCATCTCCTACTACTCCTGCAACACCGTTGACTTTCGATAATTCTCCTCCTCCCGAGGCCCCCTTCACGTCATCCACTCTGGGCAGAGTATCTTCTGTCTTGGATACGAATGGTCAGCTCGCTCAGTATGGAATTCTGACGCCACCTCATTCTGTCTATCCTTCCACTCCTCCCTCGTCTAGCGCTTCTCTGGCTACAGCTTTCGTCGTGACTCCACCTTCCATCCCTGCCATTTCCCCTCCGTCTCAGCCGAGTCCTATTAGGGATTATTCTCCTGTTTCGATCCCTGCCGTCTCCCATCGAGCAGAAATGCTTTCCAGTGTGAGCCAGAACTTCTCCTATCCAACGGGTAGCATTGCTCTGCCGCGTGGTGTTCCTTCTCCTTCGTCTGTGGACAACGAATTGGTCTCTTTTGACAGTTCCAGAAACGGCGTTCCCATCGGCGAATCCTTGATGAAGAACATTACCCGCATGCTTGACAGCTCCGCTCTGAATGAAAGCGATGACGACCCTTTCGTCTCAAAGAAACCTTTCTCTCCCAAGATCCGTCGCCCGGTACACCTTTCCCCAGTCCATTTTCCTGCTGACCTTGAGGACCCCAGAAGGCAAATTGAGTTGGTTCCATCGCCGTTGTCTGTCCGAAAGGTGTCTGGTGAGGTGATCAAGTGTGATCGTTCGATGATCGTCTGTGGAGCCTTGAACAAAAAGAACCGTGGAAGCGAAAAGGATATTTGCAACAATTTCAACAAGCTTATCCAGAATATTGATTCTCAATCTAGATCAATCCAGAAGAACTATGGCAGTGACTTGAAGCGGACTGCCCGTGCTCGCCCTCCCCGTCTGCCACTCAAGATTATTCCACATCCCCAGGTTAACATCAATGCAAACCAGCCAATCCCCAGGCCCCTAATTCCGGAGCGAAAGCGCGTGGGCCCTGTTCTGGTCATGCCTACGCCAGAGGCCACCCCAGAGGAGAAGAATACAAGTCCTAGTTCCCACTATTCAACTACTCTTCCAGGCTCACCCGAGCAAAAGCAATGGACTTCATACCCAACCGCATCCCCACCCTGCTCCTCAGTGACCCCAACCAGCGCAGCCCGAATCGAAGTATTCAATTCGAGCACTAACTTCCTGCGCGAGATACTTCCCAAGGAAATTTCCTGGCTGCAGGAACAGATCGACCATGTCAAAGCCTTGCAGCTCATCCACCGTCCCCGTAGCCCAGTGGCCATAGTCCCAGACTTTTCGCGTTCTCGGTCCTTCTGGACATTCAGTCCCGTCCGAAGAAAAGTTGTCTCTGCCTTTCGTGGCTCCCACCCAGGTGAAGGTCCTAATATTGATAAGTTTGGGAACGTCCTCCGTGTTGAGACGAAGGTGCAGCGCATTGCGCGGCTGCGGAAGGAGAATTGGCAGATTGGTATTCAGGCTCCTCATTCTGTCTGGAAGGGCTCTGAGTACTATGAGAAGTTTCGTGAGGATGCTATCGCTGATATTGAGGAGCGTAGGGGGTTCTTCTGAGGGTCGATACATGGTGAAGTCTTGAGGGTTGCTATTTTGTTTCTCTTGTGCTCCGAGGATGTGGTGCAGGTGATGCATTTGCTTTGCATTTCTGCTGCCATCTCTGGCGAATATGTTCCTCCTTTTTCTGTGGATAAACAAGTTGCTCCATTCTAAGATTTGATTGCAACTCTGGATCATGATTGCGATTATGGTCTATGGTTCATCATTCTAGTGGATCATTACTCTGATGAGAGATGGACGTGGGATGGTGTCTATCAATGGGGAAATATGCAATGGCACATCGGAGGTCATCGTTTCACGAAATTCTTGATTGGAAATGATATGGGAAAACATTCAAATGTACCCATGATTCGACTCAATCTCAAGCTCGATTTCACAGGACAATAGGTCAATACAAATTCACTGAATCCCCTTCCACATTCGTCTCCATCTCCAAGATAAATTAAAGACTCTTGCTCATCACAGAGCCAATTCCCTCTCCGACTCCCCCCTTTCCAAACATGCCACCGAGTTGGTTTCCTAGTTGATCTTGGATCTTGCTGAAGTTCTCATCTTCGATGAGCTTTTTGCCTGTGAGGCTCACTAAAGTAGAATGTTAGCATAGTCTTCACTTTCCATTTTGTGGTTCCAGTACTCTTAAGTCCATAAGACACTTTATTTTCGCCCATACAATCCAGCAAGAATTCCTGGAGCTTCTTCTGGTATGGATCTAAGGTACCAGAGACCCAAGCGGCAAGAAGCACCACCTGGAATGCAAAAAAGCAGAGGAAGGATAGCATGATTGAATAATCCGCTACGGTAATATTTGTTTTTGGATATTGTAGTCCAAGTTTAACAAAAGAAGAAATCGGTGGTTCATATACTATGCGCAAGCCTATGACGTCCGACGATGACGCTGTGCCACACAGGTACCCCGGTGGGGTCGAAGCGGTGCGAATCAGGGTGGACTTTCATATTAACTGACATATTGATATATACATCATGGCTGGGTTTCAGGTCTCATCTGGCTTTGTGGGCTTTTTCTCGTCATTGCCAGTCTGAATTTGGGGTTTCGGGGCGATTATCGGCCTTTTAGGATTGCATTTTGGGTTATACATGTACTTTGGGCATAAAATATTTAACAGTAGCTAAGGCGAATACTGTCAAGATCAAACTCATTTTACAGTAATCAGGTTAGGGCTGTAGCTGGTTAAATATAACGTGCGTTGGGATAGTATGTGAGGTCTATACCTCCTTGTCTAGGGCGGATTGTTAGAGCCGTCATACAACTAGTTTTTTGCTGTTGTCTCTATTACAGTATTGTTCTTATTGAAGTCTTGTCTTGTCTTGGATTATTATTGTTGTTTTATTATTATTATGTGTCGTAATGACGCTATAAACTGCGCTGGTGTCTACCTAGGTATGCATAAGGTACGCAATGAGCCTCACTAGGCTATTTGGGCAGCTAAGCCACCTGTGCATGCATGATAAGAATATTGAAAAAGACCAGCTCCAACCATTTGCACTGTTATTGTCTTATTGTCTCACAGCAATAGTTACCAGCTGGAACCCCCTGATTTCAGGCAGTAACTTTTAGTGTGGCTGTGCAACGCTAAACCCTACGCCTTATCGCGTCTAGAACACCTTCACCTTCACCTTTCCTCTCCTTCTTAACTGCTCTGTTTCTCGAGATCACTGTTCAGTTTGACTGATCGTGATTGACCTGATATTTCGCATCATCCTGGTTGTATGTCCCATTTCCCGTGATTAGAATCTCTATGCAGCCACCCCCGCGCATGGCCAGATCACCCCTCGAATTTGGCGTCCAAATCACTGACCCTTTTCTCTCCTTCTAGACCTGCCTCACTGCATTCGCAACGCTTAAGACTCTTCACAGACCTCCGACCCCTCAATCTCGTCGCGTCCTACCCGCTACCTACTGGGATCCGTGCCCAAGCCATCACACACCGCGTCAACCTTCGGGCGTCTGCAGCCCTATCCCCACATCATGAGTTGTGAGTCGACATTTCATATTCGTCGGACTTTTGCCCTCTGGTCTTAGCGTGATTCGTCGCTTGATTTTGCCGGCAATTATTCTCCGGGTCGCGTCAGCCTTGCCCACAATCCCAATCTGCGCTGCGCTGCGATTACCATGTCGATATACACACTGTCCACAAGCTATCTCTGGAAGCTGTGGCCAATACTGGTCCTTCTTTTGTGTCATGGTCTGCGTCTCAATGCCTGCGTCCCTGTCTGTTCGGTCGGCTCCCCCACGGCGGCCGTAATTTCATTTGTTTGCGCGATTACTTTCAAGGTCCTTCAATGTGCTGACCATGCTTTTTATAGTCGCAAATATGCTCAACAAGCTGTCCGGGCAGCCGGAGAGCTATGAGAAGAAGTATGGTCTTTCTATCCAATCTCCATTGCCCTACATTTGCTAAACTATTCTCGCTGGTTAGAGCTCTCTACAAATTCGGAAGAACGCTAGGTGCAGGCACATATGGCATTGTTCGTGAGGCAGAGACCAATGATGGCCAGAAGGTTGCTGTCAAGATTATTCTCAAGAAGAATGTGCGCGGGAATGAGACCATGGTCTATGATGAGCTTGAGATGCTGCAATCACTCCAACACCCCCACATTGTCTCATTTGTCGACTGGTTCGAATCCAAGGTGAGTCTAACTCAAGACAGGTCACATTGGAGATTTCTGACCGTGGGAATAGGACAAATTCTACATTGTCACGCAACTAGCTGTTGGCGGCGAGCTGTTCGACCGCATTTGCGAGTATGGCAAGTTCACTGAGAAGGATGCGTCGCAGACCATTCGCCAGGTACTTGATGCTGTAAACTACCTGCACAAGCGCAACATTGTCCACCGAGGTCGGTTTCTTTATATACATCCAGCACTTTCTGATCGCTGACCTTTCAAAGACTTAAAACCCGAGAACCTCCTCTACCTCACCCGCTCCGCCGAATCCGAGTTGGTTTTGGCGGATTTCGGTATCGCAAAAATGCTTCACAGTCCCTCCGAAGTGCTGACCAGCATGGCGGGCTCATTCGGCTACGCCGCTCCCGAAGTTATGCTCAAGCAAGGCCACGGCAAGGCCGTCGACATGTGGTCGCTGGGTGTGATCACCTACACTCTTCTCTGTGGCTACTCCCCCTTCCGATCCGAGAATCTGACCGACCTGATCGAGGAATGTCGGTCCGGTCGCATCATCTTCCACGAGCGCTACTGGCGCGATGTGTCCCAGGACGCCAAAGACTTCATCCTCACTCTTCTCAATGCCGACCCCAGCAAGCGAGTTACCTCGGAGGAAGCCCTCAAGCACGAGTGGCTGACCGGAAAGACGGCCAGCGACCGCGACTTGCTTCCCGAGATCCGCGCCTACATCGCGCGCGCCCGTCTTCGTCGCGGTATCGAGATCGTCAAGCTTGCCAACCGTATCGAATCGCTCAAGATGCACGAGGAAGAGGATGGAGAAGATATCCCCAGCCCCATGGACATGGGCGCTTCTGGAGAGACAGGTGCCGTGCCGGCATCAGAGTCCAACGGAGAGGCTAGCCCTGCTTCCGGCCACGAAAAGAAGAAGAGTTTCAGTAGTATTGCCCGTGGTGCCATCTTCCGTGAAGTTGTTTTGGCCAAGGTTCGTGAACAGAAAGAGAACGAGGAACGAGAGAAGGTTGAGCGCGAGGCGAGAGACAAGGCCGCGCAGGCATGATTGCATGCTAAGTCGTTCCTCTATCTCTTTAAGTCTTTTTTTCTTCTCATTTGTTGATACGTTGATTCTTCCAGATATGCTGCCTTGTAAGTCGTTTCTTACGCCGGGCGGCTTCTTGGATATAGTTCTGTGATTCCCCTTTTTTTCATAGTCTATCAAAGTGGACATACAATTTCTTCGACTGTATTCTTGTTTTATATCGTGCCATAGTTACTAGTTGACTCAGTCTGTTAAATCGACCCGATGATCGGAGGTAGACTACCCCAAAACAGCCTACCGGATAGAAAGCCGATATGCAACTATAAGGCTAGCAGAATCTGGACATGCAACTATATGGAGAAAGCAATGTAAGCGGGGGAATAATAGAACCTCGGTCTGCAGAATCTCAAAAGTGGGTGTCTATTTGCTTTTCCCCATTCCTCTTATCCCCCTTGCATCCCAGGATTTATTCCTCACCAAACACCTTCAGCCAAACACATCTAACACCGCCAACGTTCCGGACCAATTCATCCATACCAGAGATGGACTTCAAATCCACAGAAACGGATGGGGCCTCAACCCATAAAGAGCTTCAAGAAAAGCCATTGAACCCTCAAACTGTTGAAACAGCAATGTTCACTGTATCACAAGCCGAGTATGACAAGCTCCTCCGCAAAGTCGATCTCCGCGTTATTCCAATTCTGGCAGTACTATATCTCCTGAGTTTTCTGGATCGAGGTAGTCTTCTTGTATCCTAGCTTTGGGGGAATATACTCATGAAACTGTATGAACAGGTAATATCGGAAATGCAAATGTCCAGGGATTGTCTACGACATTGGGTTTAGTTGGCCAGCAATATAATTGGTGAGTATTAAGATGTGAACCTTAACACAAGTACAAGGGGAAATGACACTAAATTAACTATTATACTGCTACATGTACTAGGTGTCTGACAATCTTCTTCTTTCCGTATTCATTCTTTGAGCCGCTTTGCAATTTGTTGCTTGTTCGTTTGAAGCCTAGTATTTGGCTTCCGTCTATTATGGTTGCTTGGGGTATGGTGCTATGTTCTCTTATTCCGTGGGCTTCTTGGCTGATCTGTTACGATAGGGCTCGTCATGACCTTGACTGGGATTGTGCAGAATTATTCTGGTTTGTTAGCTGCTCGGTTTTTCCTTGGTAAGTTCATTGGATTCGAAGTGGGTTTTCTTGGGCTGATAATTGCTATAGGAGTGACAGAAGCGGGACTTTGTATGCTTTTCTATTTCTACGTGCACTTCTGGTTCTTTTTCTAATCTCGGACAGTCCCTGGTCTGGCTTTTTACGTTTCCCTATGGTAGGATATCATATTGAGAAGACATGCATATTTATGCTCACATAGTACAGGTATCCTCGGAAGAACTCGCAGTTCAGACTAGCACTCATCTTCGCATCTGCTTCGATGGCCGGTGCATTTTCCGGTCTATTGGCCTACCTCATCAGTAAGATGGATGGTGTTGGTGGACTAGAAGGCTGGCGATGGATGTACGTTCCCGCTCGATTCTTGAGTTGGGTTTTGACCACTAACGTATTATAGTTTCATCCTGGAAGGGCTGTTGACCGTGGTTGTTGCGGTCTTTTCTTTCTTTCTTGTTTGGGATGAACCTGCAACTGCGGCTTTCCTCTCGGAGCACGAGAAGAGAATTTTGCTGGATGCTTTGAACTATACCCAGACTGAGACGTCGACAGCACCTCAGCTTGGAAATAAGCATTCTTTTAAATGGAAACATTTTGTAGATGCGCTTCTCGATTGGCAGGTATATTTTGGTTACTCTAGGTCTATATGAAAGGAATGATGCTGATATTCTTTACTAGACATGGTTCCATTGCCTCGGGTACTGGGGAATGGTAAGTCTAGCCTTCCTTCCTCCTATACTGTAATACTAACGAAACATGAAAGGCCTGCTCTGTATATGCACTATCCCTATTCCTACCAACAATCATCAAAGGTCTTGGCTACTCAGCTGCCCTGGCCCAGCTCCTAACAATCCCCGTCTACGCAGCAGCGACAATATCCTGCATCCTAGTCGGCTACTACTCCGACAAAACCGGTCAAAGAAGTTTCTTCACATTCGCCTGCTACACCGCCGTCTTTGTGGGATTCCTTATCGCCGTCGCTCCAGCACGCTTTATTCCCGGTCTGACATATGCGGGCTGTTTCATTGCCGCGTGTGGCATGTACCCGGCTATCCCCGGTCTTCTGACCTTGTCCTCGAATAATTGGGCACCTGATGCTAAGCGTGCTGTAGGTATTGCTATTCAAATTGGTTTTGGAACTATGGCTGGTGCTGCTGCTTCTAACTTTTATCGGAGTGAGGATGCGCCGAGATATCGTCTGGGGCATGCTTTAGTGCTAGCTTTTGCTGCTTTGGGGCTGTTAGCTATGATCTTGTATTATGTTATTTGTCGTAGGATAAATTCTAAGAGGAATTCCGAGGCTGATAGGGTCCCTCGGTTTGTGGCGGAAGACTTGGTGGACTTGGGTGATAAAGCGCCCAGCTTCAGATACACTCTTTAGGGACTGAAGTATTGACTTAACATGGTTCTATTGGATCAGAACCAAATATAGTACCCTCTAGCTAAATCATCCTCACCATCGCAGAGTTACTACTGAAACAAAAGAATCATCTTCGTGGCATGACCGGGCAAGTATAAAAGTCAGGCGTCAATATCACGTGCCTCTATCTCCCCACCTTCGCATCCTCCCATTCGAACATCTCATCGCTCTCAAATATCTCGTTCTCGAGTTAATCGCTTTGCATCGTCTTTTTCTTTGCGTTCGTGAAGTTTTCTACTCTTCTGCCCCACGTCATACATCTGCTACCCCACACCGCCCCTCCTACTCCACCGGAGCTCTCTTGATCGCCGAGTCTTGCACTCACCACCTTTCAAGTCCACCGTCATGTTCGCAACCAAGCGTCTGGGCAAGGTGAGTATTGTCTCTTACTTTGTAATTGTCATGGAAGTGAACTTAACTGACTGTTTGGATTACAGGAGCTCCTGAAGGTACGGACGCCCTCCCCGCCTTTTTTCACTTCCCTCCACCTTTGTCGCATTTCACTTTGTGTCCATCTCGCATCGTCATGAATCTCATTCACCCTATCTTCACTCTTCTAACGCTATGACATTTCCAGATGAAGGACCATGTCCCGCCAGGAATCGAGATTGTCAAGAGTGACACTCTTGAGGAATGGCAGATGGACATTAAGGTCCTCGATGACAACCCTCTCTACTTCAACCAGACGTACCGATTGAAATTCACCTTCAGCAACAAATATCCCATCGGTAAGTTCCAGCTTCTCACTCAACCAACCTTATTTCTTACTTCCTCTCGGGGCGCATTCCGCACCCTTATCTTGATAAGTCAAATGACGCTATTTCTGACATTTATGGTCTTTCTAGAACCCCCAGAGGTCCAGTTCATTCAATGTGACGCTTCTACCGGCACCCCCCGCACGATTCCCATGCATCCCCACATCTACAGCAACGGGATCATTTGCCTCGATCTCCTCGGAACGGCCGGCTGGTCGCCAGTTCAGACTGTCGAAAGTGTCTGCATGAGCCTCCAGAGCATGCTGACTGCGAACAACCGTGACGAGAGGCCACCCGGCGACCAGGAATTCATCACTCACAATCGCCGCCGTATCCGCGACATCAACTTCGTCTATGAGGACGACAACGTATGAATCCGGTTCTGTTCATAGTCGGGGCTGGATTGGGGTTCATAACAAGGGCATAGAATCATTCTTATCTTGTGGTGGGGCGGGGCATACTTCGGCGTTTCTGAGTGTCATTCCGGAGCCGAGCCGGAGAAGCATCGTGGGGGTCAGTTTCCTTCTTTTTCTCGCCTGTTTCTTTTACGTTCGCATTTATGCTGGCGCTGGTCGGTCATTTGACTTCTAATCGCGGAATAGGTGACTTTTTCCGCAGGAGTTTATGGGTTGTATTATAGCGGTGTGATCAATGCGAGAACCCTTTCCTATGTGACATGATTCCTTGTTGGATATCAATCCTTTCGACCCTGGAGAGTAGAATGTAACATGTAGAGCAAGTCCGATAATTCCACAGCTTCGGTGGGGTATAAATCCCCTGTCAAATTTTGTATTGACCTGCACCAACCGGCCTACCACGTTCACTACAAATTAGAACACGGGCCAAGTATACTCTCTTAACAGATCATTCGGACTTCAAGCGATGAATCTAGAGCAAGTAGACACCATTGAAACTCTATGTTGAAACTATATTGGATATTAAGCATTTTCCGTCACATGATTGGTCAGATCGCTTATACCCCCAAAACAAGATTAACCCTAACCTCAGGTATAAAGACAAGAGATATTTCCCCAAACCACGGCCCATCCAATCCAAAAAAGATGCAACCCAAGACCCAAATCGACCTATTCCAAGGCTGGCCAGCCACAGCCATGCTACCAACCCAACGCCTGAAACAAGCAGCCAACGACGTCTTATCCAATAAGACTATCTTCAACGACGGGCTGGCCTATGGTCCCGATGAAGGCTATTATCCCCTCAGGAAGAATATAGCCAGTTGGCTATCACAGTCATATACTCCCCTGCATACTATAAATGCAGAGCGCATATCCATAACCGGCGGCGCAAGTCAAAATCTAGCATGTATACTCCAGGTATTCACAGAACCGGCCCAGACGCAGAGAATATGGCTAGTTGAGCCCTGTTATCATCTCGTCTTTCGGGTCTTTGAGGATGCCGGATTTGCTGGGCGCATGGTTGGGATTCCTGAGGATGAGGGTGGTATGGATGTTACTGCTCTTGAGCTTGCTTTGAGTGGGTTTGAGAGCAGCGAGAAGGCAAGTCAGAGTAATCAGGTATGTTTCTTCTTCCACGGCTGGAAGAGCTGGGTATGGGCTCAACTCCTTGAAGCAGGTTACAAAGCCCCCCAGGCCATATCGAAAGATATACAGGCATGTTATATACTGTGTCCCAAACTTCTCAAATCCATCTGGGACAACGATGTCACGCGCACGGCGGGAGGCGCTTGTTAGAGTTGCTCGTAGGTATGACGCTCTTGTCGTCTGTGATGATGTGTATGACTTTCTCAATTGGGGGGTTGTCCATGCCTCTGCCGCTGTGGCTAAGCCTCCACCGCGCATTGTGGATGTCGACCGGGAGCTTGAAGGAGGTCCTCTGGATCAATTTGGCAATACTGTGAGCAATGGGTCTTTTAGTAAGCTTATCGGTCCCGGGTGTCGGGTTGGATGGGCTGAAGGGACCGAGGCCTTTGTTTATGGACTTTCTCAAGCGTAAGTCTTCTACTCTGCATCATTTGGACAAACTTAACGTGGGCGTTGACTAAATTGCCTCAGTGGTTCTACGCGTTCGGGTGGTGCCCCTTCGCAGCTGATGTCGACTTTCATCAACGAGTTACTAGAGGATCACTTCTTACCGGGGTACATCGCGGATGTACTCATTCCTCAGGGTCGAAAACGTCACCGTCTACTGGCATCAGCAATCAAAAAATATCTTGGTCCTCTAGGTGTATCGTTTACACCTGATCCTGAAACTAGTCCCGTGGTTGGGGGGTACTATATTTGGGTACAACTCCCGGCTACAGTGAATGCCACTCGCGTGTGTCATTGTGCGCTCGAGGAGCAAAACTTGGTGCTAGGTAATGGTGAGGGTTTTGCTGTGCCAGGGCGAGATTCTTTGGGGAGAGATTTGGATCGCAGATTAAGACTATGTTTCATGTGGGAGGATGAGGAGCGGTTAGTTGAGGGTGTTGAGAGGCTCGGGGCCGTCATTGAAAACTTGATAGATAATTAACAGCACATATAACTTATCACATGGAGATTTCAACTTCCTATATAAAACCAATTTGCTGTATAGCTCGGCTGCTAAACATGAAACTAAAATTACTCCTCCATGTAACGACAAAGACACTCATATGACGTAACCAAACACCGTTCACAATACTGAATCTCGCACGAGGCCAGAGCTTCTGGCTCCGTTTCAGTGACTCCCAGGCGTAACACATATAGATATATATAAACCAGACGAACAAGAGGATAGCGCAGCCCACAAAAAGTGGCGAACTCAAGAGACATGAATGGGTTACTTAATGAAAACCGAGGCGCAGGATATCTCTGTGCATGTCAAAATCTCGAATTGTCAGGTTCAAGGGCGTTTCGATGGCATTTTATCAATATTCTCAAGGTTTGCATGATTAGGGAGTAGTAGAAAAGGCATAGGACACAGGATACGACATCGGATTACTATATTATTGGTTGATTTGCGTAGAGCCTGGATAAAATTTGAGATGTGATACTGGTAATTTCAAATTTCCAACATGCAGCTTCCACCGCGAATGCAATAACTTGATTTATCCATAAAACCAATATTCCGCGGCGTATGCAACTTGTATAGTCTCATTTTGACCGGTGCATGTAGACGGCGGGTCTCCTTGGGATGTCACAACTCGATAAACCTCCTATCAAGAACAGGTCAAAAGTGCTCGTAGCTAAGGCTGCTAGGTCAATCACTCACCTGAATATTACACCCATCCTTGTGTCCAAGTTTCAGCCATGGAACATTGCCGCTTTGACTATTAGATAGTTCCGTCGCAGGAGCTGAGACAGACGCGTCCTTTTTGGCAACGATCCAAGACTGAGAGCCACTCAAGCTCAAATCAAAGACTGGATCCCCGCCAGCGTTGAAGTAATGCTCGCCGATTATGAGATCGGTGCTCTTTGTGCCCTGGCCTAAAAGAGCTGCCATGAAGACGATGCTTCCAAGAGGTGTGTTGCTCATGATTTCAGGGAGCTGGTGGAGAAGAGCACTCGAACTTGATGCAAGACAGGAGGCATCAAAGAGAGTGGCTGCGGCTCCGGTGGCAATAGGCTTTGTAGTGGCTTTGTGGTTTGACGGAGCATTCAGCGCCAGGCAAGAGTAGTTCTGAGTTCCGCGGCCCAGCACAACGTATTTGAGGGTAAGGTTCGTAGAGGGGGCTGGTAGTTTCGCCTCTGTGTCTTTCAATGGGATAGATGCGTTGGCAAGAGAGCAGTTTCCGAGGTTGATAAGGTCCAGCTCGCGAGAGATATGAGAAAATGAAGCGGCAAGAGCTAGAGGATGAGGAAGTGCTGAGTATGCGTCAATGGTTGCTGCTACAAGGAGCAAAGCAAGCGTTAGAAAGCGTCTCATTGTGATATGAGTGATTTGTAAAGAAGTATAATCTTGACTTCTTGAAAAAATCAGGTTGGAGGTCTTAGGAAAGAACCGGGGAGGATGTTAAAGTCAACAAAGATAGGGAGTTATAATATTAGATCAGGGGTATGGTAAGGCTGCCTTGACATGTAACAAAGAGTAAATGCTCCGAATTTGGAACATGCCGTCCATATGGTCAGGGTCACGGTTTATACCAGATCGAATCAAGCGCAATAGATTCCGATTCAATGAGCCAATGGCTGTACCAACGAGAGACTCCTCTTTAATTGTAACTCCCCGCATCTAGTCGGTAGTCGATATTGGCAAGTATTTCGAGCCTGCTGACTGGGGAACTTACGGGGCTAAGGGAGAGCTAAAATTGGCGTCTTTGTTTTGTCAGACTCCACATACTTGAATGACCGGAGAGATAGGCTAGGTACTTTTAATTTCCATACACTCATAGTTAGGGCTTATTGTATAACCCAAATGAATACCACCACACGAACGGGCTTTGCATGTTACACTAGCTCGGTCGTTACTGGTCAGTCGGCAAGTTGCGGCTTTTAACGTTGGACAGGGAATTAGCATTGTGGTAATATATTTTGGCCTTTTGCTACCCCAGTATAACCTTAATATGGATGCTAAAATGCATATTCTACAGGTGTATTCTAAGATTTTTCCAAAACCTGGTATAGCGCTTCAGCCCAGTGCCTGGGGTAGGCAAGTCTGCCATTGGCTGTTTTTCGGAGAATTCCTCATCCTGGTTACATTGGCATTAATTTCCCAAATTAAAAGACTAGTATCAGGTGCCAGAGGGAATCAAATTCTATGCAGAAAGTCTAATAATGTTCTTGACACGCTGGTTGTGGGACATAAATAGACTATAAGCGCCCTACCAACGCCACGGATGCATTGGGATTATGGTATGTGTGGGTCGGTCCTCTGTGGGATGAATGGAAAAGTAGAGTATCTATTTCCATCTTGATATGTAGTAAGATAATCTTGAAACTACAAGTGCGTGATTGAAATACCAATGGTTTTCATTGAAGATGTGGTGAGTCTGATTAGGATATGTTAGTTCTGTATTTTCCTCAGCAGAAACGAGAAGTTCTCGTTCAAGTCTATAATGTTTGCGAACATCTTCTGTCTCCTGGTGAAATATTGACCATATATTCCTGGTTGTGGTAGGTAAAGAAAGACTAACCTGACCAGCTGGGCTTGTGCTTACTCATCCATCTGGATATATATACGGGATATATTGTCACGTGTTGATTCTGATAGCTATTGAGATCACGTGTGGTGCTGGACAGTTAGTCATCCATTAGCGCGACTTCGCCGACGGCCTTTTCAGTCTCTCATCGCGAGTCCCTAGCAACACTGCATCCTCAAAGGTTATTCTTGTGGCCGTTTCAGCGGTTCCCTATCCGGATGTAGCGACTGTGACCCTTTTTGCGGTATCATAGGCTCTCTCATATCCTCGCGACTTTTGATTCTTATCACGATGTCTGACGGTAAGTTTTCGCAAGCTCACCCGCTTGACCACATGCTAACCACCACAACAGCCGACCTCGAGGCCGTCCGACGGCTCCAAGCTGAGCGCAACGCCGCTGCTTCTCGTCAAAAAGGTTCTAGGACTTTTGACCCATCTGGTCAACGTACTGATAACTCGACCAAGGCCTCCCTGACGGACTCCTTCGATACCACTTTGTACGATCGGGATGGGGCGGAGAAATTCTCAGGCTACAACACGTCCATCGCCGTTAATGGCGATGACGAGGAAATGGAGGATGCGAACGGAGGACACAGTTTGGTTGGCCAGTACACCGCCACCAGAAGCCAGATCGATGAGATGGCGCAAGGAAATGGGGTTGAGGAGGAGGACATCCTGCTAGGTCGTGAGAAGGCAGCCCGAATTGCAGACCGCGAGACGGACTACCAGAAGCGCCGATTCAACCGCGGACCCTTGACTCCTACACGCGCCGATCCTTTCGCCGCCAATGCCCACGCGAATGTTGAGGGGGAAGGCCAAACCTATCGTGAGGTGATGGCGCTCCGTGAGATTGAGAAGGAGGAAGAGCGCGTGCAAAAATTGATTGCGGAGAAGCGAGAGCGGGGTGAAGATGTGACAGAGCACGAGGCCACCCTGAAGAGGGTGGAGCACGACAAAGAAAACGCCGATGCTGGCTCGACAGTTCAAGTGGCCACCAGCAAGAAGCGTAAGAAGAGATGGGATGACGCGGCCCCGGAGCCTGCTCCTGAGGGAGAGGACCAGGTCGAGCAATCCGAAGCCAAAAGCAAGCGATCACGTTGGGATCAGACGCCCGCTCCTGGCGCGCCCGATGAAGCTCCCAAAGCCCGCTCGCGCTGGGATCTAGCGCCCTCTCTCACAGCTGCCACGCCCGTCGGTAACCAAGGACTCGCCACCCCCATGCACCCATCCCAAGGTGCGCCTGTGGGTTCTGTCAATCTCGGGGCCGGTCAGGTCATCGGGTGGTCCGATGAAGAGCTTGATATCATGCTCCCTGGCGAAGCCGATGGCTACAAGGTCCTTGACCCTCCTCCTGGATACGAGCCCATCAGAACCCAGGCTCGCAAGCTCACGGCCACACCAGCGCCTATGGCTGCTGGCGGCGTGGGAGGATTCATGATGCAAGAGCCAGAAAGTGTTCGGTCTATGGGCAAAGAACTTCCGACTGATATTCCCGGCGTTGGTGATCTTCAATTCTTCAAGCCGGAGGATATGGCCTACTTTGGTAAGCTGATGGAAGGTAACGACGAAACCAGCATGACCGTTGAAGAAATGAAGGAGCGAAAGATCATGCGATTGCTGCTCAAGGTCAAGAACGGCACTCCGCCCATGCGAAAGACTGCTCTACGACAACTCACAGACAATGCGCGCAACTTTGGCGCTGGACCTCTTTTCAATCAGATTCTGCCTTTGCTCATGGAGAAGTCATTGGAGGATCAGGAACGTCATCTGCTGGTCAAGGTCATTGACCGTGTTCTCTACAAGCTCGATGACTTGGTTCGTCCCTATGTTCACAAGATCTTGGTCGTCATTGAGCCCTTACTCATTGACCAAGACTATTATGCGCGTGTTGAAGGTCGAGAAATTATCTCCAACCTTGCCAAGGCCGCTGGTCTTGCCACAATGATCAGTACGATGCGACCTGATATCGACCATGTTGACGAGTACGTGCGAAACACCACAGCACGAGCTTTCGCCGTTGT